TGAAAGGAAAATGGGTAGTAGAATTACTAAAATCATAAATAATTATCCCTTTAGACTTTACAAGTTATTATTCATGTTAAAAAGAACAAATTCCTGACTTATTTTTAATGTCGTTCTGCTTTGATGTTTATTTATTAACCTGAAAAAACCTTTATTTTTCTCTCTGCAAAACCAGGCAGAAGCTTAGGGACCAGATTGACTGTCAGAGGCACATTATAAACGGTATGGCAAAAGGCAGAGCCTTGGCATGGCGCCTAACTCTAAAGTCACAAAGTCAATGGCTCCTGCAGTCGACGCACATAAATAAGCCGGGTTAAGAGGCAAATGGGCCAAAGTTTTGGCCCACTAAAAGGCTTTGACTGATGAGCGGTCGTGTGGCCGAGCCCGCTAGTTGATTGCGCATTAATTTGTGTGCCGCTCCTCCTCCTCCTCCTGCTCTTCCGTAACCAGGAGCCCTTCAGCTGGTCTGGTCTGGTCTGGTCTGAATTATTATTTGCTCAAAGTTTCTTCACTCCCACAGACAAAGAAATGCACAATGCACAGTGTCTTGGGAGCAATGGGAAGCATTGAGAGAAAGACAGAGACTGAGTTTGAAAAGTAATAACAATGGCCAACTGACTGAAAGTTTATTACAATGATGATGTTGATGGCCAGAATGCATTAAATTAAATACAAACGAAATGAAAGCAGCTCGAATCTAGCTGCTAGCTAGCTTTGTTTTCTCACAGCTTTATTTACATTAAGTTTTCAATTTGTTTTCCGGCTCTTGTCAACATCATCCGGCCGAAACGAAATATATGTAGTTTAAAATGTTCCCAAAATCCAATTCACCAATTTGGTTAGTTTGTGGGGAATTTTGGCAGAGAAAGGACATAAAAATGTATGGTAAATCAAGGCTTATATAGTAGTTTTTAATAAAATATTTGGAATTTAATTGTTTCCCTATATTTTTAATTGCATTTAAATCTAGGTAGCATAAAGTCCATGGGTACATAAGAAATACCTTGACTTATCAAGAATTTAATAGCTTTACTTGCCATATTTTTCATTTTATTATTATCAATTTTTATCCTACAAATTGCTTTTAAATATTGGCATTAATTTTTCTGCGGGACCAAGTTCAAGTTCGTAAGCCATCGAACCCCGAAAAGCAGGCCACATAAATTACCCAGAGAGAGACACCCGAAATCCCATTCCAGAATGTTGCATTTCGCGTATATTTGTTGCTTTCGCGTAATGCGATTGCATTTAAATTTATAGCGTCGGCAACGAAAGTGCTGCATATTTTCGCATATATTTTCCCCTGGCTTTTCTTCGTTTTCTCTTCTACCTTCTTTTTTTTTTTGCTGTTTTTATTCGGGACTGCAATCAGAAAGTGTTTGAGTGCCGGAAACAACTCGTTCTTCTTGACGGCAGAAGGGAGCAGCGGCAACACGTCGCTGTTTCGCTGTTTCCCTGCCTATCTGAGCTGTTTTGTTGGTATTATTATTCGCGTTGTAGTTGCTGCTGCCGCCGCTAGTTGCATGCATTTGCACTTGATAAGCCAACAAGAGGCAGGGCGGGGAAAAATCAACACGAGCCGGGGAAATATGCATGTTCTTGTTACCGGCAGATTTCCATTTTAGATGGAAAAGTCATAGTCGTCGTCGCGTTGTTTATATTTATGATTGGGGCGTGGCATCGTCATCGTCCCTTTCTCCACAGGATATGGAATTTGTCGAGCAGTCTGTTTCGTATGCAGAACAAACCAATCGAATGTCACTTAATTGGCTTTTTATGCGACACACTTTTCACTGCTGCCGACGACCAGCTGGCGAGAAGTTTTGTCACTAAATTTCGATCAAGCGGGCGCTCGGCACAAGAAGTGCAATTTGCAATTTTGGGGAGCGGCAAGGACATTGCCACATTATTTTTATAGGGCCGTTATTCAAAATAAAAAAGGATACAAAACAAATAAGAAAATAAGTTTGGCTGAAGAAGAAGTTTTTCTTGGGGCCCTGAGCAAAAAACACCCAAGGAATTGATTGCACAGGGAAAAATATTTGTTGCTGTTGGTTAACTGGGAAATATTGTGCTTAAAAATAATATAATATTTTATATATTCATCAAATATAATTGAAAATATAAAACAAAATTATTTAAAGATAGAATTCCTTGAAAAGAAAACCCATTACCAATTAATATTTTCTGTTGAAGTGTGTTCTTTGCATGTCTTTGACGTCCCAGGCACTTGTAGTTTGATGTGGCTGTTGTCCTAGGTCTCAGAGCCTCCACTCTCCTGCTCCTTGGCTCCTCTGCAATTTTCGCATTCAACTTGAGCCAGAACAAAACAAGTTGTTGATCACATAAAGCTGGCTCGAGTCGAGACCAGAAAACAGAGAACACTGAACACTGAACACAGAAGCCCTCGGAGCGGCAGAGGAGGCGGCGTCACTTCTTGTTTTCGCCATGGGTTCAAAGGTAAAACAAGTGGGCACGACATGCAACGAGAGGTTAAGGGGTTAAGGCAGAAGGTGGCCAAGACTAAAGCCAAAATATATAAAAAAAATAAAATAAAGCAAACAAAACATTGACATAAATACGTGAGCGCTGCTGTGGCTGCGGTTACAACAAAACTTTGTGTTCTCCGTCGTTTTTCGTTGGCTTGGGAAATATGCCCTTGGAAAGTAGGTATTACAAATTGCTGATGAAGTCTGTCGGGAATATACTATACTATATGTGGGCGTGCCCTGCATCGGTGGCCTCGGTTATGGGTATAAAGTTTACATAAGTTTTTTTATTTTTTTGGTTAAGCTGATGGAAGGAATTGTTTATGGGAGAAGGAATTATTTCGTTGATTGAGAAATTTTTGTAGGAAATTCCAAGTTTTTTTTGGCTTGTTTACTTTGGTATTTACAGGAAACTCCAATTGCCAACAATGGTTTATTATTTAAATATTATTACCATTAATTAGCAAAATGAAAATAATATATACAAATAGTAAAAAGAATATCTTAAATAATAATTTCTTGATAATTATTTATATTTCTATTTATTTATAAATATGAAAATAAAGTTTTCAGCTAATTAATCTCAGTTTTTAACAAGATCTTCAAGAAAATCCTTTTCAGGCACTTTGCGCCCTTTCAAATTTTCTCAAAGAAAAGCCTGACCTTTCCATAATTTAAGAGCATGCCGTGTTCCTTGAGTAAATTCGACAATTTTTGCACCTTTTACATTTCCCCATTTTCCTTTCTGCTAACGACGTTAGTTTTTTTCATATTTTTTCCACCTTTATTTATTTATTTATTTAATGCTAACTAATAGTTATAAACTAAAAGTTAACAAAGGATAATGAGCAATGGCTACCGAGGCCTTCCGCTCTACAGTGTATTAACAAAGATATGTGTGTGGAATATGTTATAATTAAATTTTATGTATGAGATTCATTTTGTGTAGAAAGTATATAATTTTATTTGAGTTTGCTGCTGTTGGATTCGCAAGGAGATGGATTGGGTTATCATTGGAAAAGCAAATTGTTCTAACATGTGAAAGTGCAGTGCAGTCTATTAAAATGTGTTGGTGTTTTTTCCACCTTGTTTTTGCTTATTAGTACATAGTTTTCATTTTTATGCGACGGCAGCACGAGCTGTGCTTTTTTTTTTTTTATTTGCCCTGTTATAAATATTTCTTTTCGTTTTTTCAAGTTGTTGTTTTTTATGTTTTTTGAAGGTTGCTTGCCGGCGACGACTGGCTTTGTTTTTTAACCGGGCTTGTACTTGGGTCATAAATTTTTGAAACTTGAACGCAAATGTGTGTGCGCGCCATTGTTGGAAAATGCAGAGCTGGAAAATTTGCTGTGAAACAACATTTTCGCCGCTGGTTTATGACATTTTCTTGTTGTTGTTTTGTTGCTGTTGATATGTTAATCGCGCTGTGCATGCAATTTAAGTATTATTTGGTCGTTTGTTTAATTTTACCGCCACCTCGGCAGTATTTTTTTATGTCACACTGTGAGCGCACTTAGCCTTAAATTTAATAGTAGCAAAGCATTTAATTTTAATTACATGGCCAGCATAAAAAATGGCAAAACTATGCCGCGGAATAATATGCAAACATCAAGTTCCCCCAGTCCGCTTGCACCTTTTCAAATACAATCAAAGGTATGCCAGGCCTCATATATAAATGCCTCGAATTTTATTGTTTTACGTGCCTCAAGGACCTTGGGGTGGGTGAGAGACCAAGCGTGTGTGGGAGCTCATAAAAGGTGTAAGACACCCATAAACGCCTCTCTGCCGAAGTGTGTGCGTGTGTGTGTATCCTTGTCATAAAATGTGCGTAAAACTTCCTGTGGCATTTATTGATAAAACGTTTGGGCAATGAATTCCTATTTGAGGCAAAAAAGGCTTAAAGCCAACTAGAACAAATGTTATCTGCCGGAGGAGGAGTAGAGAAGATGGCATGCATACCAGGCGTTTTTCTCGGTTATTATTTATTCGATAATGATTACAAAGAGTCAGGGGAAGATGGAAAATTCCACTTAAGGTGAAGAGTTTGAGCCAAGTTAGTGCTTGGGCTTAAATAGGAATAAATTATGGTAAACTGAAGGTAATTAGAAGGCTTAGATAAGAGATTAAAGTCTTTAATTTCATACGAACTTGGGCTATAAAAAGCTAAAAATTAATTTATAATTAAACTCTTTGCTATTCTTGTTTCTAAAAGTTTAAAAGTCCTTGTTTTCCCCTCTGAAATTTTATAGAAAACACTTTAAACTCTTCTATTGACTCACCAAACTTCTCACTTTTTTCCCCAAATATTTCACAATCACTTTGTAAAGTTGCCAGGGACGCATCTCAGTCGAGAAACATTATCGTAACTAATATCTGGCGTCGAGTGTTATCGCCAAATGTCAATGCCAGTTATCTGTTGGGAGATACTTCTACCAGCCTGCCCCAAAAAAATTGATATAAATGCTGCGCTCAGCGAAAAATGTCACAATCGAAACGAAAACGGTGCACAGAATGGATTTTTCTATAGTTTTGCTGCTACTCTCGGTTGCGCTCTCACCTGCCTTCACACCTGTCCGATGTCAGGTAACGGTGGCCTGCAATTCGCGAACCTCGCAGAAACGCATTGTTATCCGCAGCCCGGCAGCCAGCGAGTTGGCCAAGTTGGACGCGTGCCAGTACCGTGTGGCACCGTGGAGTGGCCAGGTGTGTCAACTGCTCGTCCAGTTCGATCGCCTGGAGCTGCCCCAGCCGCAGGTCAACGAGAGCTCTCGCCTACTGGAATGCCTGGATTTTGTGCAGCTTCAGCGTTTCCGGCTCTGCGGTCGCAGTAGCGGCCAGCACCTGTACTTACCCGTTAGAGGAGGTCAGGAGGTGGAGCTACTCTTTCATTTGGCCACAGCCGTGGGCAAGCAGTCCAGTGCCTGGCAGCTGACTCTAACGCAGCTGGAGTGCCCTAGGGATACCACGGCCCTGGTGCCAAGGCAACCCACTGTGCCCACTGTGCGTCCAATTCTGCCCTTTTTGGGCAATCTCTTGCCACGCACTATTTTTGGTGGAGCATCTGGCATTGGTTCGGGTTCTGGTCCCGCTGCCCAGCTTATACAATCCTTGAGGTCGCCCTCTATATCAGATCTGGAGCTACTGGCTCCACTGGGCTGTGATCAGTACTTTAGAACCCCAACAGGGGGCATTGTGAGCTTTAACTTTGCCGGAGGAATCTACATGCCCAATGTCAGGTACTCCATTTGCGTGAAGGGTTCGGCAGACAGCGAGATAAGGTGAGTCGGGGAAATTTTTATAGATTTTTTGGCTGACAAGATATCAAAACAAGAGAGAGATAATGGAAACAGTGACTACAATTATCAAGTTCTCCCTTCCCCAAATTAGCTACAAGATCGACCACTTTGAGCTCTCGAAGGCCAACACCCAGGAGCCAGGACCTGCCTACGACAGCGACTGTCGCAGCACAGTGAAGACTGCCGGCCGTGTATCCGACTACCTGAGTGTGCCCAACTCTTACCTGGTGTCTCGCACTGAACTGCAGGCCACTCACTACTGTGGCAGTGGACTCGCTGGCCAGGAGATCATAGCCCGCCCACCTTTTGTCCTGCTCTTTGCCAGTGATGCTCAGTCGAGTGCCGCCGAGACGGGCTTCCAGTTCACCTACACGGTGCGGAGGGCCCAGGATACGATGAGTCCTGCGGCGGGACTGTAAATTGGCAGCAGCCTTAACTAAATCAAGGCACACACTCTCACACACAAGTAATCGGGAATTGACATTATTAAATGCCGCTGCGCTGTGATATTCGTCGCACAATGAACCAGGGCATTCCATGGTCACGGATTTGCCTTAATTAAATGCCCAGGCCCTCCGTCCGGCATTAAGTCACATGTATCTATATATTTGGTTTGTAAATAAATTATGGAAAGCCCAGTGGCATAAACGGCATGCGGTCCACAACGGATTCAATGGAATGTGAATAGAATTTCATAGTTGATTATATTCTGATATAGGTTGAAACAATGCCCGGGCTAGGGCAATTTATGGGCTCTAAATGGGGGAATGTAGAGGCAGACCCTGATGGTGGTAGACGGTGACTAGAAACTAAACTTTTGATTTAATTATTTAGGGAGATACTTCTTTTGATATTTTATTTATTTATTATTTATTTATTTATTTCTTGAATATAATACACGACTTTTTTAAACAATATCCCCTAAAGACCCCTTCCAAGGAGTTCTTAAATAAATACATGCAACAAACCCTGAAATTCGTGAATATTTCCATATATAATTGCCGGACTGGTGTAACTTGTTTGGTTATTCCGTTGGAGGAGCTGAATTTTCCATGTCCTCCCCCCGTCACTTCCAAACTTTTTACACATGGCTGCCGGAGCGGATGCAGAAAGCTTTTCCCAGGAAGAGAGAGGAGGGATCATGGGGAAAATGCAGTGACATTTTGATGCCGGCACAGACACAGCTGCCACAATTGCCAGGCCATGTATTTTTAATGAAAAATTTAACAAAATTTCTGCGGTTTAAGTGTGAAAATTGTTGAGCCAGGTGGCTGATCGATAAAACACAGCGGAAACGAACGCGGAAGTGCGAATATTTCGCGATTCAGTTGATTGAAAACATACGCCAGATGTCGTTCCCGATGTATAGGGCCTAAGGCCAAAACGGATATGAAAAGGGGATACTCGTTGTAAATTTTGTGGGGCAGCATTAAAGTGGGGCGAGACATGGTAAAGTGTCTGGTAAACACAGAATGAAATTGCATTTGCATCGATGACCCCACGAACGAGAGAGAACACTGGGGAAATTGCCTTTCAAATATGCATGGTCATATGTGCTTCGACTTGCAGCTATGTACTCTTCGTTTTCGGGCAAATTCTTGAGGCCATCTTGCCTGTGGAGTGGCCAACACTTTGCCTCGTTTAATGTTTCTATCCCCGGGCAAAGGTTTTTTTTTTCTTTCTTTTATTTTGTTTTTTGCTAAGGCAGCAAAAGACGTTGCTGCAGCATCTTGGCTTCCGGCCCAGGGCATTACTTAAAGCCTGGTTATAACCCAGCTGGCAAGTTTGCTGGCGTTTGCATAATGCTTTCCGGCTTAATGCTTACTTCATAAATGCACGCAATTAGAACGCTCAGCATACTCACAAAGACATGAGTTTAGGGCTAGCCATTGTCCCGCATGGCGTATGCGTAATGTGGCTTGATGAGTGTTTGTTAAGCGCAGTTTTAAGTACGAAACTTTTGGCAAGTTAGTTACTTATACATAGAACATAAGCTAACGGAATTTATTTTTCTGAAATTATTAATTACCTTGTGAGAGTTTGAGTGAATTGGTTAAGTGAATATGTTTCCTTTCGTTTTCTGTTCAGTTTTTTAATAGGTTAGTGAGAATTTTATATTATTTATATATTATATATTCATTTAAATTGTTTATAATTTCCATACATTTTAGTTTTACATTTAAAATTATGTTTGTACTGGTCCACATGGCGTATACGTATTATAGAGTTATATATGCGTAAATTGAGTAAATGAATCTGTTACATTTCCTTCTCTGTTCAACATTCTGCCTTACCTTTTCTACAATTATTAACTATTTAATGAGGATTTTATATTCAAATACTAGTTTTACTCCTCTGTTAAGCATATCAAACCAAATTTGTATTGGTTTACATTGCGTATACGTATTGCAGAGTTGGCAGCTGCTTAAAACGAATATAATTGTTGGTCAGTTATGATATTAATTTCAATATTTTCACCAGGAGTAGATTACCAAACAAGAGCTGCAATATTAAATTAATTTCTAGACACATTCACTAACATTTCGGTTTCAAATTTACCACTCAACGCTTATAAATTGGCTGAAACTGAAAATGAAACTGAAACTAGAAAGCTATATCTATATCTATATCCATCCTGTACATTTTCCTAGTTTCAGGTTTTTTGGCAAATGCAAATGCATAGTGGGAAAATTGTGAGAAAAGAAAAACTAAACATAAATTGTTTGGCTGCCGCGCCGTCCAAGCCTCTCCCCCCGTGCTTTTCTAACCATAACCCAATTTTATGAACACTATATACGTGTGGAAAAAGGGCGGCGGGAACAATTGCGGAATGCTTTTTAAATTGAATTTTTAAATTTTTTTCAACAGCATATTTTCCGGTGATTTTTTTCGTTTGTGTTTTGGTTTTGTTTTGGTGTTAGCTATGTTTATTTAAGAATTTTTTACAGCAGATTTCTACAGTTCTCCCTCTCACTCTGTGTCAACTTTGTAACATCTGACCCAACGCCAAAGGCCCAATGCAATTTGTGTTGCTCTCTAAAAAAAAAAGTACTCCCAAAAATAAACGAGATCCATTTCACATGGCATAGAAAATTGTAACATAAATTTTGAAGGGAGGAAGGACTACAAAAAATGGCGGTTACAACATTGTAGTTAAAATGTCACAAATTATTAATTGCAAGCGGATTTACTTAGCGGTCAATTGTGGGAGCAGCTACCGGACTAAATTTAATAATAAATGCTTAAAAAAGAACCTGTATTCAGCTTGGCGATGCATTCTAAAATTTATATTTAATATTCATGAGAATATTTTTAGAGTGAGCGCAACTAAACAAATATGCTATGAATATTTAATGCCTTTCGGCTGGTTTACTCTTAATATGCTTTTATTAAATACAAAACCAAATTTTGTGCCGAATTGCCAAAGAAATAATCCATAAAATTCATCGAATAAGTCAAAATTAAATTAACAACATTAGGGTTTTATTTCAAGGACATTCTCGGTGACTAATAAAAACTGACCTTAACATTAATATAATGATGGTCTTATCGGTGTTCTTGAAACACAGGCACAAACTTAAATGCCAATTAAATAACATTAAATTGTGCGAAAAATGGACCCAACAAGCGGCTGTCCTGCAAACACAAGTCCTTGAGCCCAAACAGAGAGACTGTCAACATGACAAAGGAAAAAATTAAGCAGCTAAACAGGGTTTTATAGACGGCCGGCAGAAATAAACAAACAAGCGAGGAGACCCTGGTTGCTGTATTCTGGAAAATCTGTAAGCCAAGGCAACATGACAATCACACTCGGACACAAAGCCAAAGCCAACAACATAATCTACGGGTTGTCAGCAGCCCAAAGACCATAAAGGCGGCCAAACGATGGACAGGAGCAGGGCCAGGGTGCAGGAATGGGGAGCCGGGACAGGGAGCTGGGGATTCCCCGAAAAGGAGCGAAGCAAACAAATTAGTATGCAAGTCGGGTAGCAGATTAGGACACCGAAGTTTTCGCGACATAAACGAACAGCAGGCAACAATGGGGCCAGGACATGGCAGGACACACACACCACTCACTCACTCGTCCATTTATGCTTTCAAGCGCCTTTCCCTTTTTTTTTTAGGTTTTGCGGATTTAGTCGAAATAATGAAGTCGGCCACTGAGGCGATCTGTTGCTTGTTATGCTTGTGGAAAAAAAACCACAGAAGGGCATTATAAAAAATTATAGAAAAATGTTGGAGGTAGCGAGACTGTGTTTACCCATTTGGGATAGTAAAATCTTTAGGAAACCTTTAAGTTTCATGGAAGCTAGTAAAGTTTTGATTACTTCTTATGCTACATACATATCATAAAATATATTAATTTTTAATAACAGATTAATATAATATTTCATTATTTACCTTTACAATTATTGTCTTAAAGTTAATCACTCCCACAAGCCTCTCTTTATTGGGTATCTTTACCATTAAAAAGCATAAGAATGTCAGGCAGTCTGCGTACCTTGACAACCTATTTCCAAAATTAAATGTTTTTGTTGCTGGCCACCTTTTCTGACAGACTGGGTTGTGCTTTCATTTTTGCCCTCTTTCATTTCTTAAATATTTCATTAAAAATTCCCGGCACAATTGCTGTGGTTACTTGACGCAGAAAAGAAGAAAATCCCCGAAAATAGAATAAATCTTGAGCTTGAAGTCAACCCTTGAAATGTCACTGGCCTAGCTTGAAAATTTATAGAATAAAAATCCCACTAAAGAGAATTATTACCCGAAAATTGATATTATCTGACATTTAATGTCAAAAGAAAGTCTTTAAAATGTATGTAAATAAATAATAAAGTTAGTGAACATGGGCCATTGCTTGTAAATCAAAAGATGTCTAACGATTTAAAAACAAGAATGTAATAAAATGGAAAATATTATAGGAGATGATAAACTAAGCTGACTGTAAAATAAATTCACGTTTATTTCGACCTGCCTTTGGCAATGTTTCTCAGTTTGCAGTGTTTATAAATTCAATTCAGGCAATAAAATATGCAAGAATTTCACCTTGTTTTTGCAGCTCAAATAGAGAAATTTGCATGGATTTTTATTTGGTTTTTAATCAATGGTAAATACGTCTTGTGTGTTGACTATGTGTAAAGTTAATTTCATAATTTCCAAAGGGAACTAAGTAAAAGTAAATACCAATCAATTTTGTGACACTTTTTATAAAACCTATTTAATGTTAAGCCCATTGAGGTGTTTATTTGGTTTAAAGGGGTTTTTTCTATATCGATTTGTATGGCCTTTAAGCTATCTTTACCGTAAAATATTTAAGAAAATATTTGCATATACTTGACGGCGCCAAAGGCTTTAACAATGTATGTACTATGTATATATATATTTTATTACCCCAGTTTGCCTGCCCCCGAATGAGATTTTGTTAAAGTTATGGCCGACACATACTGGCAGCCATATAATTTTCATATTTCCACATTTTCGTACATTGTTTAACCGGCTCCTTTCGTCCTTTCACAAACAATGTGTGTGTGCAAAACGTAAGTTTGCGTGCTTGGCGCATATAAATTAGTCGCTTATAATATTCTTTTGGCATTTTTCAAATTTCCAGTTTGGTATTTGCTGCTGCCTTTTGCCTGGTGAAAGAGTTCGTACGCCATAAAGTATGCAGCTTACGTGCGCTCAAGGCTTTGCCGCCACACGAACCGATGGCAAAAAACAATTATTAACATATTAATAAATTGTAGTATATTTGAAAGGCCATAATTCTGTGTAATTCTAGATGCCTTCAGCTGGGCAACACCTGAACGAAATTGGATAATCCGCTCCACGGGCTGGGGGCTATGTAATTTGCATTTTTTATGGCCCCTGGCCCATGGCCCTGACTGCCTGACTGACTGACTGACTGACTGATTATAGCCAACTCAAAATCTAGGCAGGAATATTTCTGGTGATTAAGCCAGATAACGAATAGGGCTTTGTTGGCGTTAACTGTCTTATCAGGGGTGAGTTCAAGTGCAGTTGGCTTTCTTGTCTGCCACTTTGGGCCTTTGTTCGCCGTGCCATTTGTGATTCTTTGTGACAAATACGACAACTGTGATTGCCAAGAGTCCCAGCAGCAGTAAAGCAATTCCCACATACTGCCCAATTTTGGCAACATTCAATGCCAGCTGGAAGGGTTAAGGTATTATATAAAGTATTATATTCTTATATTTATATTTCTGACATTACCTTGAGTAAGCTTGTGAGGCTGTCATCCAATTCAGCATGGATTTGCATGGTAAAAAGCGGTGCATAGTGATTGTAGGCCACATCTTTGAAGAAACTAAAATGGGAATTTAATTATTATAAAACTAAGGATATCTATTTATGGATATTATATATATCTATATATTTATTAGAGCTAATCTATTCAGCTAAATTTCTACTTACTCAATTGCCTCGTCTCGCTCCACATGGACACTAACCATAAGCTGTCCCCTCAGGCTAAGCGGAATGCCCATAGTGGGCTCCATTATCACAAACATGCCGTGCTCCGACTCCTTGGGCCGCAGACCCGTCGTATTCTCTCGATAGAGTTCGTCAGCCAAGTAAAAGTGCGGATGTGACATGTAGAATGGACCATTAAAGGCAGGTGGTCCATAGTCAAGGACTCCGTTGCGTGGACACTCACGATTCTTCAGGCAAAAGCACTTAGTGTCCGGCGACAGCTGGCCGTTGTCCAGGGTGAGATTGGTGGACTCGTAGCGCCACACGGGAATGCCATCAATGGTGAGGTTTTCCTGGGGAAAGAGATTTAAATACCGGGCGGCATCCTTGAGGAAAATGGATGTGGGCTGGTCCCACCTTCTCTCCGGCGACCATAATTCCCCCGTGCTGCCATTGACCTTGCCGCACTCGCCGGGGTAAAAACCTAAAAGGAGAATGATTTTAAAATTATATATAAATGCATAATTTATGTTATTTGGCTTCACCTGTGGTATTCTGTCCATTCCACAGCTGGAGATCTCCCATCTGGCGGAGATCGACGTGGCCTGTGTGTATCGTAAAGTTGCCCTCGGCTGTCTTGGAGTTGTTCCTTTCGTAGAACCAGCTAAAGTTGCTGCTGTAAATGGGCAGCAGGGGCGAGTGGAGTTGCTCCACAAAGTCCAGCAGTCGGTCGTAGAAGCCATCGAAGAGCCACTCACCCGCCGAGTGGGTCATGTGGGTGTCGCCGCCCTCGCGGTTTAGGGCAAAGTTCATGACCTTGCGCAGGGTGCGACGATAACGGCGCGAATACAAGGCAGCTGTCTAAATCGGAAAGCGGGATTAGCTGGGATTACTCCACGTTGTGACAGATATGTTCGCACAAAATGTTTACCAACATACCAGCGATACATAATGTGGAGCCACCACGATGTCCTCGAGGGTGCCATTGGACTTTTCAGGCAGGAAATGCCAGGTGCGCTTGCCGAAATAGGTCACCTCCGGTCTCTGCTGACTCCACTCCAGATCCTCCTTGACCTTGAAGTCACTAAAAGTGTAGGGTCCCAGCTGCTCATAGTGTGGCTTTACCCCGGCTGTATTCAGGTGCTCAGGATTAGTCCAGTTGAACAGGTAGATGGTGCTGTATATAGGCATGGGGGTGGTCACCCAGCGCTTGTACATGAAGGAGTTGGGGCTCAGCGGCATAATGCTACGTATCCAATGACGGGAAACCGCTGGCCAAGCGGCAACGAATAAGACTCCAATGGCCAGGAACACACCAGCCAGGCCAAAGACCCAGATCTTCTGCTGGCGGACACTGCAGCAATTGCAACACATCGCGGTCGATTGATCCTGGCAAACTGGTCTTCTAGGCACTTAATCCACTTGTATTTATCGGTCTTTACTCTTGGGAGGATTCATGACGAGAGGCTAGAGATAAGATTCCCCCATTTGGATTGAAGCCTAAATTAACGGCTCATTCTTTTATTTATAAATGTTGTTTTGAATTTCTCAAACAACTTGAAGCAATTCAGATAAGTCGAGTGGCAAAAAGCTCCTAATAAAACACACCCTCAACTGTAGAGTGGTTCTCTTTATGACATGAACTACAATAGGTTGAGTCTTTGAGATAAGAAAGAAGTTGTTAAAAAATGCACTGACAGAAAAGTAAATAAAATTTTAAAAATAATTAAATTTAAACTTGTTTCGATATCGCTTTTTGTAACGAAAAAAGAGCCAGCTTATCAGAAATCTACATATTAAAACGTTTTATATTATTATATATACGTATATTTATTTTCGTTTCCAATTTAAGTGTGTAATATTATCTCATACATTAATATTACATATACATATTGTTTTCAGATAAGATAGAAGTTTTATTGTACATTCTACAGTATGACTTTGATAATCAATACACATTAAAATTGTTTAAAGAAGAATTTTAAAAATTTAAATGTCTTTACGAGTGCTGTAAATATATGGATCCCTAGTCACATTAGGATTTTAATAGAATAATTTAGAATAATAATTTTGTTTAATTTGGAAGAAGCATAGCACTGCATGGAAAAACTGAAAATAAAAAATATACCTTACGGAATATTTACTGTAATCTTTGACCAGCCGTTATCTCTGGTTCAATAAAAATACACAACGTTTAGTTTATATGCCGAAATAAGCGGTAAAGGTTCTGTGAATTTTCAGGCTCTTCGAAAGTAATTAAGCCAAAGAATTAAATATATAAAAAGTTAGTTGAAATTTTTTTATAAAAACATTAATTAAACAACATATAATTTTTCAAACTGCAAACTAACCTGACTCACTCCAGATAAACCGAGCAAATAAATAAAACAAACAAGAACATGGAAGGCAACCGGAAGCACATTTCGGAGCTAAACCACTTCTGCATAATGGAGATGGAGAGCTATATCATCGCTGATTGCAAGTCGATAGGTAAATCTCACGGCATGATGAAGTATGCAAATTTAGTTAGCTTCGCAATGGCCAGCAATCATTTGGAGGCGGTTTTAAGGGAATGGAAAAACAATCTGTACAAAGACCTTGAATTCGTTTTCGTGGCCAACAGAGACTCTTTGAAAATAGATTTTGCACTGCTTTTAACCACACAAAAAGGAAAGGCTGGTGACGTTTTCTGGCGATTCTTTGTTGATGCCATCAAAGAAAATAACAAAGTTGAAAATGTTACCTTAAACTTTGCCCCAAAGACTTTTCAATCCGGATTCTTGGACCATTTCCTAATGATTAAATCTGCTCTGCAAAATAAAAGAAACCTGCAAATTCTAAAAATAGCGTTAAAAGGTTGGTACCAGAAGTTATTCATCATTTAAGGGGGTCTTATCATTCAAAAGCCGTTTTTTGGACCCTTTTTAAAAAAATTCTTATTTGAAAACGCAAAGATTAATTGAAAACTTTTTTTATTTATTATATTCAAAAATGTTCAAAGTAACTCAAAAAGTTGTTCTTGCCTCGATACGAGGGTTATTCAAAGAGTAATGAGACTTCAAACTTGGTGGTCGAAAAAAAGGTGTCGTCCTGGCGGCCACGATTCAGGGTCTCCAGAGCGTCCGAAATGAAAAAAAAAAAAAACGAGGCTATAATCAGAATAGATGTCATTTTCGGGTGACGGAACAGATTTTTTTTTTAAATTTTTTTAAACAAAATGGCGGCCATTCAAAAAAAAAAAATTCGATTTCGGCCTTTATTTTTTGTAGTTTAGTGTAAAAAAAAAAATATAAAAAAATTAAAAAAAAATCTGTTCCGTCACCCGAGAATGGTGACAATTCTGCGTCGATTCCACTTTGTTTCATGAAAATCGGTTCAGTTGAACTGGAGATATCATGGCCGTCAGTTCGAAAAACGTGGTTTCGAGATAAACGCGTTTGAAGTTTGAAAAAAGCTCATTTTGCATAGACCTTGCTTCACAATAAAGGCTGTATCTTCTAAAGTATTTCGAATTTCTAAAAATCCTTTTGGGGACATATACACCACATCCCAAGCTATAAATAAATGCAAAAAAAAAATCGAAAAAAAAAACGTTGCCCAATGAGAAGACCCCCTTAAGTGAACTTACCCACCTGCAATTAGTAAAAATCACTGTTGAAGAAAAGTTAGAGGAGAGGACTTCACAGGCCCTATGCAATTTTCTAAACTCATGTCAGGGAAATGTGGAAGCCCACATCCATTGCAATAATGGTTGGACAATTGTCCAACCAGGAGAAAAAACTTTTTCTAGATATTCATTTAAATGACAATGGGGTAAGTCTTCTAACTCCTCTTTCACATATTAATAAGGTGTCCTTATGGTCAAGGGTAAATCCAAAAGTAGATCTCTAGATGATCTCAATGAAGACTTGAAAAATTTATGGGTTCATGAAGAATTTCGGGGCTTTCAAGAATTGCCTAAAGAACTAGTTTGGTAAAGGAGAATAAAATGGATAAAATAAGTCATAAAAATTCTCATATAATTACAGAATAAAGCCATTTTCCTAGATTGTGAGATAAATATCACAAGGCTAATGTACATATACAGCATTATATTTTTAGTTATATTAATATATTTATCACACTTTGTTCTCAGAAAATCACAATGATTATAAACTCATTCTATATTTATTACAAATTCCTATTGATTTCATCGACCACCGACTCGGGTTCATTTGGTGTTTCCTCGTTATCCTTAAGGGCCAGCCGATCCGCCTCCGCTTGGCCATACCATTTCCTCTTTATGGTGAGCAAGGTGCCAATAGCTATAAGAATGCAGCCCAGACAAAGTAATCCCACACCAGTGTATCTACCAATGGCGGGCAGGTTGAGAGCCAACTAAAATATAAATAAATTAATTATGAATTATTAATGAAGTAAGTATAAATATGTAATTATATATATCCCAAGTACCTTAAGTTCCGAGGCCAGAGCCTCATCGATTTCAGCGCGACTGGCTGTGGTGAACATTGGAGCATAGAAACTGGGTAGCCCCTTTAGAATGCTATAAGAAAACATGTGTTTTATAAATATATAAATTATAATAAATTACTAAAACCACTCACTCAATATCCTTGTCCTCCTGTATCAAGAGGGTAATCATCACATTGGCGTTTACCTTCAGCGGCACACCCATTTTCCGCTCCATGATGATGAAGAAGTTGTTTTGATCATAGTTGGGATGGTAGCCATTGATGGTATTCCCATAGCTCTCATCCGCATACATAAAGTGATCCGCGGATAGGTACATGGGCACACCATCAGCACAGGGTCCAAGGTCCGTGGCTCCGGTGGCGGGGCAGTCGTTTGGCTGCTTCTCCACAGGACACCAGCACTTCATGTTTCCGTTCACCTGGCCATTGTCAAAGGTGTTACGTGTGATCTCATATTTCCATCCTTTAATACCCTGGATGGTTTCGCTTTCGCCGGTGAACTCAAGGTTGATAATCCTGCAGGTGTCCGGTATGAAGATGGTCAGGGCCTTCTCCTTGGGCTCATCCGGCACAAAGAGATCTGTAGTGCTGCCATTAAGGCGACCGCACTCGCCTTCGTACCAGCCTGTGTGATTCTGGCCCTTCCAGTACTTTATTTCGCCCATCTCCTTGATGTCGCCCACGCCCGTGTGCACAGTGAAGGGACCCTCGAAGTCCTTTGAACCATTTCGGTTGAGGAACCAAGCAAAGTGATCCGACTCAATCGCTGGAGCCAGCGGATTATTCAGCGACATGGCATAGTGAAGGAACTCGTCGTAGAAGCTGTCGAAAAGCCACTCGGCTGCCGTGTGTGTAACGAACAGGTGTCCTCCGTTGGCATTTAGAGCCTGGTTGAACATGAACTTTAGAAAGGAGTTGCTATTTCGCATTTGATTGGCAGCGGCCTAAGAACAATTTTAGAAAATGTGATTCTTATTATAAATTAATTTAAAAAAGTTTACCCACCAGCGATGGCAAGTGCGGTGCTGTTATTAAATCCGTTTGCATGCCGCCTGAGAGTTCCTCAACCCAGAACCAGGTTCTCCTTGGGTTGAAGGTCACCGTGCCATTATCGTGCCACTCCAAGTCCATTTTCTTTCTCTCCTCCCGATAGACATACGGACCGAGCTGCTCAAAGCTTGGCTTTACTCCATAGGCCTGTACATCGTTGGCATTTGTCCAGTTCCAAAGGTACATGTAGACATAGACGGGAATGGGCAGCTCCTCCCACTTCTCAAAGGTCTTTGAAGTGGGTGTCAAGGGCAAGGCCTGCAAGTATATAAAATTAAAAGAATTTAATTCGAATTTGATATAGTAAAAACTATAATAACCTTCATGATCTGTGTGTCTATAAAGCCGGGCCAGCATATTACGGCCAGAAGTCCAGAAACGGCGAACAAGGTGCCCAGTCCAAAGACCCAGACCTTCTGTTGGGTCACTCCGCAGCATTTGCAGCACATGATGTCGATTCCAAACAAAGACTGGTCACCGGAAAAATTGAACTAGCTTTTTTATGTACTAAGCACTTAATAGATTATCCTCAAGCGAGTTAAACCCGTCGGCTAATCAGCACGTCTGCCATATTAATTCGCTTCGTTTTGTTGATAGCAGCTACACTAGAAAAATTAGTAACAGAGGACCTATATTTTTTTATACAATAATTTCACAATAAGAATTATAAGAACTAACCAAAAATTAAAAAAGTTTGCTTAAATATTGATATAAAAAAACAAGTGACTTTATTTGTTAAACAAAGTCTTCAGTATTTTATTTATTCATTAGTTTCTCTGCCTTAATTTTAGTTTTTTTATTATAAATTATATAGTACTGAGTATTTGTTTTTAATTTTTATTCTCTGTGTGCTGATTGGAATTAATGTGTATATATATAATATTAAGCAACTTAAGGCCTTGATAAATGCACACCACTGCACTGAAGTTCTTGGGAATGTTTGCTTATCAGCCAGACTATAGGTAATCACTACTTACTTAATACTTAAGCACTTAATATTTAAACATTTAAGCACTTGGTAACAAGAGGCCTGGTAAATACCTTACAAAAAATATATTAATCATATATATTTAATAAGACATAAAATAATTTTAAAAACTATTTTTTGAATGTACTTTTAATAGAACACTTGACTCATATTATAACTATAGTAGATTAAACTATAAATACGGTCAACTATTTCTGCCTTGAGTCTCGCCATCTAATCGAAAATACACATATATATGTATGGATTTGTAGTGGAAATGCAATTTTATTATCAACTCGGCCCACTTGAGAGCCATAAAAGATCACTTTCGGGGGGATAATCTAATCAGGCTAAGTAGCTTTCGATTAGAGCCATGCAAAATCGTTTTCTGACTCGTCAGCCACCTGGACTGGCGAAAAATCGTTTGTTGGCCCAACATGATTAGTTGCTTTTAGAGCCATAAACATTGACCGCAAAATGTGTGTGGCGGGTAAATGTGCATTGCAGTTTATCTTTTCGGGTAATTGAAAAACAAGAATTTCTCCCCAATAACGATTAAACAACCTTGACATTAATTTTCCCATAAACACAGTGCTCTGTAATAGACACCACATTTAATGGGGCTGACTCTGTTGCCAAAATGAAATGCATATTGCCACTCAGCTTCTTAGTCTGGTAATAATTGCAATTAGTTAGCCACAGGAGCCAAGACCCATGTCTTGTATTTCAATAGAATGTGCCTGCCACTGCTGATTTCCCCATTGCACTTCAATAAATGCATAATCAGCAACTTAAGCCAGTTAGGAAATACTGGGGAAATGCCTGCACTGAAGGTTCATTAATAAATGCATAGCATGTGGGTTTTGTAGATGAATGAAGATATTTTATGAGGAGTTGAGATATGTAATGATTTTTATTCATAAATAGAAAATCAAAGTAACCTATCAAATAATTAAAATCAAAATGTTACCATAATAAATAGTGAGTTACCATCATTTCCGAGCCATATATATTTTTTTTCTTTATTTTGTTTACATATAAATATTTGTTGTTCCTTGTTCATATTTAATTGTATTAATTATTATACACATACACACATATATGAATATTGGTTTTGATATATAGGAAAAGTACGACGACTGCAGTTCAGAACATCTCAGCAACATCAGCATTTTTTTTAAAGGTCTACAACGATCGGTTGGACATGTAGAAATACGCCATTTTGTCTTTAGTTGAGGTAGCCATTATTTAATTTAAGCCTCAATGGAGCCCTCGGCCTCGAGTTGGGCCTTGCGGCTGGGCTGTGGTTACAATTACATTAATTAATAAAATATATAAAATTTTAAAAAAGGTTAGCTAACCTTGGGGTGCATCAGAATGAAGGGCAGCTCAGCGCAGAGCTCGCCGCCAAGGGCGCCCAGGAAAAGCTTGACTTTCACAGCATAAGACACGATAATGCCAAAGGCATCCCTGGCATCCTGGCTGGCGATGCTAAAAGAAGAAAATACAAGTGATTATTTCAAGGAAATTAAATATAAGAATTCTTTTTAATTAGTTCAAGTGGAATACTTTTTGTTAGCAATACTTACAGTGTAGTCGAGGCCAAAGCGGTGTCCTTGCGCTTGATATCACCCTCGACGGCAATGCCGGCTCGGTCACAGTTGGCCACCAAAGTAGGCACCAGATACATGACCTTCTGCAGGCTGGAGCCCGGATTCAGCGGGCAGCCCTCGCTGGTCTCCATAAAGGCGATGGTATTGCGGAATTGACCGTTCTGGAAGAGCACTACATCGACGCCCTGCTGCACCATGGCCTTGACCTTCTTGACCACCTTGTTCGAGTTGTTTCGCACGCAGATATTGACCGAGATCTTCTCGCCATGATGGTACAGCTGCTTGTCGAGGGTTACCTCCAGCTCGAGTTCACCGGGCGACAGAAGGAAGTCCTTGCGCACCACGGTGCAGGGCTGGATGCCCTGCTTGGTGGGGGCATACTGCACCTTGCGAATGCCCAGGTTGATAGTGCTGCGGCGATGCGAGCGGTCACAGTCGCTGTCTCCGGTGAAGATCTTCACAAAGTACTGCACGCCACATGGCTGGCTCTCGTCGCTGGCCCGCTGCTGCAGGACCACCGAGGCCGGCGAGCTGGGCGGCATTTGCATCACAAAAGGATAGGCATTGGAGCCGAGCTTCTTGAGCAGACGCTCCTGCATCTTGGTCAGCGTAATATCCTGCTTCTGGGGCGGGCACACCTGCTGGGAGACCAGGGTGAGCTCCTTCTGGAATCGCAGACCGATCATCTCATCGTCCTCGCGTCCATAGCGGAAGTTGCACACCAGCTGCACGAAGATTTTGCGGTTCTGGCGCACGTACTCATCGTCCAGCACCACGATTCCATCTGCAAGTAGAGTGTGGAGAAGTCCAAGGCTGCTAATTAATCGAAGATTACAGATTACGTAAGGTAAACTCCCGCCCCCGCCACTTGCTTGTCTGGTCTGGATGTCACGTAACTAATAAGCCGGTTTTGTGGTTTAATTTAGGCATCTCTGGCTTGCATAAATTATTTCTGAATTTAATTATGTCCAAGACCAGGAATGGATTTAATATTTAATTGGTCCCAAAATATCTTTATTGGAAGGGAGTCTACTTTTGGGAACAAAAAAATCACTCTAGTGGCTTTAAAACTTTTAAGAAATTTCTAAACCGATGCCTAAAAGTAGTTTATATCACTTATATCTCCTCTTAGTCCCTATACCCACCGATTGGCTCCACCTGCGTGACGGAATCCACAAATTCACGCCTGTTCATGTAGAGCGTGATCATGTTGTTCGGGGAACATTTCTTGAACACCTTGAAGTTAACCACCATTTTGAAGCTGTTTATTTATTGATTCTCCGGAAATAAAAATATATATTTTATTATTTAGTATAAATAAACTTTTGTTCAACGTTTCGCGCTCGTCTGTCTCGGGATACGCCGCGTTGCGTTGGCCGCTTGGCTATTAATTAGCGCTCATTGGCAATCCGGCCTTTATACCTGGCATTGTGGCACCTGTTCCCGCACCTGCAAATTGAATTATAGAAATTCTGTAGCTGTTCTCTAGTTGTTTTTTACTAGGGCTTCCCTTGCCTTGTGGCGCAGCGCCTTTGATATTGACATTGCAGTCGAACAGCAAAATCGATGGATTGCCGCCGCGTACAACACGGCGCATTAGCAATGCAGCGCCCAAAAATAGCCAACGAAATCGATATAGCCTGCGTTTTTTAGTTTGTCGTCTTTTCTAGTTTGGTCTTTTGTGGTTCCCAAAAGTGACGCATTTATACAGAAATATTACGTGGATGACCCCACCCGCCCAGTGTGTTTTTGCCTTTCCTGTTTACGTAATTCTTTTTAATTTAATTGAGGCTTTTACGGTCCTCTGCTAAGCGGTGATAAGAGCACCGCTTTTATGGCTGTCCCGATTGCTATGTGGTCCCTATATGGGAAAATTAAAAATCTTGAATATTTTATAAAAATATTCCCTTTAAAATAGTAACTGAATTTATGGGGTTTTTTGGGGTTTGACATTCCATTTGATGCTTTATCGGTGGCAAGAGTGCAGCAGAGTTAAGTTCTTTTTAAATGTTTAATGATGTTTTTATAGCTCAAAAAAGTTAAAGTTATTCTGATTCAAATATTATAAACCCCAGTTGATCAAATAATAACCCCTAAGCACTTCAAACTCCAACAGAAACTGTCACTTAAATTCTCTGCACATTCAATTATGTAAAAATATTCTAGGGAAAGCTCCGGCGGGGGAAACCCCCAACCAATTTTGGCCATTTCCAGTTCCAGTTTGTGCAATGAAATCACATTAGCATAAAGTAGGCTACTTAACAAAGTCAATGAACGTAATTATTATACTCCTGGCATTAAAAATATGAACAAAGTTGTGTGAAATATATTGTTCTTTATTGTGTGGTTTGGGAAAGTCTGTGCAGGCTTTTCCCCACCGTCCCGTGTGTGTGTGTGTGTGTGAGTGCGGAAAATGTGTGGGGGCGTAGCATGGCGGCGGACAGTCGCCGAGGGTCCAACAAAACCGACAATGAGGCCCTTAATAATAGCAAAACTTTTGCACTCACGACGTGTGGGCCAGCGGGAAAACGTCGCTGGTTATGGGCTTGTCTCTCATTTAAATACATTACAAGTGAACTTTCCGAGAGGCGTGGATGAGACCTCCTCGTCCCTGCTGATGGCAATATGTTGTAAAACGAGCTGTGTTTAAGATTCTGTTAAGAAAATGTAAAGTGTAATTAAATTCAATTAACTTTGAGGCTTTGACCCAACGAAAGAGTCATTCGGTGTACACTTTTAATAAGAAATTCTAAACTAAAACTAAATTAAATTAAACTTAAAGTGAAAATAAATCATTTTGGTAAATATTAAAATTAAAATTTGAGGTTTATTTGAGTAAACTTTTGAAATTAACAATATGTTCTCTATTTTGAATATACCATATTAGAGCCTTTGCTTGCAGGACTGGGTATATCCCCATATCCACCGCATTATTGTCTATCTTCACTATCCAAGCTTGTGTGTGGTCATTGGATCCCTGTGCAGTCAAGCCGCAAATCGCTGGCCACCGCAAAATGCAGCCTCTATTATTCGCGTCCAATTGCGCCAGATGTGAAGGGTGCTCATCCTTTGTTTTTGAACAGACATAATTTAACGGCACCTCCTTAAAGCGGCCACGATTTAAACAGCAGCCATAACCAAAGCCAAAGTCGAAAGCTCTGGCACCATTCTTCTCCTTCGGTCCACTCGAGAGCTAATTTGGGCAATTCAATTGCCTGACCGAGGCGAGACAAAGGCGTTGGCCAAATTGCATTGCACAATCAGCGCGATTGCCACGGCACACCGAGCCAACCAGCTGGGGTTCCCGGACATGGAAGCCGGTGCGCAATTGTCGTTTGGCCGAGCCAAATCGACAACTGGAGCCAACTGGGTTCTACTTGGAATTTGCTAGAAACTGGAAAGAATTTTTTAAAATAATTTTTAATGCTGAAAAAATGTAAAAAAGATCAATTTGAAAAATTTAAAGCAAGCATTTTTGTGTTTTCTCAAATAGTAAAGATAAATAATTTCCTTATGTATTTACACTTTTTAATAGAACCCTATTTTTCGCCTGTGCACCATTTAAGACCTTCCAGTAGGTCCAAGAACTTTCAGTTGGTGCCTCAGTCCGGAGTCCGGAGACCACCTTGATGCACGGCCGACATCTGGCATTGAAACGTGAGCGCGGGCGGCCGCAAAGTTTTGGGCCAAAAGACGAAGGCAGTGCCACTCATCAGCCAGATCAGGCCCAATAGCACGGAAAATTGCAGAGAAGCTGAAATTGTTGTATTATGAAAAGTAAAAGCAAACACGGTGCAGAAATGGCGGCCAACCTTCGGCCTGTTCGAGTTTTCCAATTGGCATTACGTGGGACAAGGGAAAAGGAAACGAAGGACATGTCGCACACTCTGAAAAAAAAGGAAAAGAAGGCTGGAAAAAATACTTTTGCTTCGGTGATGGTTGAGCGGTCTTGGCAGCAATGTTGTCGCCACCGCCACCGCCGTCGCCGTCTGACGATGTGCAAACTGGCGAAGTGACAGCAAATGGCGCGGAAACTGCACTGTGTGTACCAAACGCCAACGTCAACTAATCGTGGGTGAACAAATCCCTATGTATACGGAGAGTGCACTTGCAGAAAAAATATACAAATCTTAAAAAACATTCTTAATATGTTCCTAAAGAAATACAAATTGCTTGAAGAAATGTAAGGTATTTAAATCTTAAGTAAAAGTTAATTTTAACTTATAATAATACTTTATAAAATTATTTTTCTTTGTGTCAATAGTATGGTACAATATGCATGGATCCGTGCACAATCTCTAGCTGTGATGTCTGTGCGTGTGGCCATGTTGCAGCCAAGGATAGGTGGGCCCCTGGAATGGGGTTCCCCTTGTTGACGCCAGTCGATTGCAGGTGGTGTCCGTGACGTCGAGTCCTGATTGCTTTGACATCTACATCGCGGATGGTTTTAAAAATAATACGTTCTTAGGTGGAAAGCCAGTGTTTGATTTAATTGAAGACAGCACGTTGAATTCGGCAGACGCACTAGCAGTTAGTTATTTCCTTCTATACAACAAACTCTCTTAGACTTAAAAACAAACTCGGGCTCTAAATATTTTAGAGATTTTAAAACGTATAAATCACCTCGTTAAGATGGGGTGAACTATTATACCCTTGCAGGGTACTATAATTTCAGTCAGAAGTTTGCAACGCAGTGAAGGAGTCGTTTCCGACCCTATAAAGTATATATATTCTTGATCAGCATCAACAGGGGAATCATTATAGATATGTCAGGAAGAAATAGATTTTTTGGCCATTTTTGGGAAATTTTATAAGGGGTTACATCATTAAAATTTTTGATTTTGATAAAAAATTGAATTTTCAAAATTTTTAAATGAAGTATGCAGATTTATTAACTGTAGAAAATCTTGCACAGAACAGTTTTCCGATTTAAAATTAATGCTCTTTTGGCCGAGTTATGATATTTTTAATTTAAAATAAATTAAGAAGTTTTTTAATATACAAAATCAGATTTTATAATACAAAATAATATTTTTCCAAGTCAAGGAATCATTTCCGACCCCATAAACCATATATATTCTTGATCAGCATTAACATGCGAATCTTTCTAGACATGTCCGGAAGAAATCGATTTTTTGGCCATTTTTGCGAAATTTGATAAGGGGTTACATCATTAAAATTAGCAAAAATGGCCAAAAATTTTGATTTCTTAAAATTTTAAATTTGGTATGCAGTTTTTTTAAATTAATAAAAACCAACACAAAACTGCTTTCCGAATCGAAATTAATGCATTTTTGGCTTCGTTATGATATATTTTAATTGTTACCTGCAACGGTATACAAACTTTGACTGGCCAAAGTTAGCTTTCTTTCTTGTTTTTAACTTGCAACTTAAGGCAAAAAAATCGAAAATTGCCGAGGGCGACTTCAAAACTCTCAGAAATAAATATCTCACACCGCAGTGATAAGTGGAATATTGAAATTATAACTGACATCGGAAATAAAGCAGTGCAAGATCGAGAAAAGCTTTTATAAGCTCTGTGGGCCTGCCTCGTAATAAGTTCACTTTGCAAATCAGTCGACTCTCAACTGCATTTGTTATTGGTTGGATTTATGCTTCATATTTTTATTATAATCAGTGACGGCTTAAAGTGGTAAAAACTTCGAAAATTGCTTTAATTTAAGTCATATTTAATTTAAAAAACCGTATACGTTTCCCGGTTTCCTCCATATTCGGAAAGATACTGACTTTCGTGCACTTTGTGAAAATATTGTTAAGGGTTTGCCGGAGATGACTAACATATTACAGTGAAAATAACATAAATAAAATTATTCTTCTATGGTTTTGAAAAGAATGTATATAATATTGGCTATGCATGTTTAGAAGCGAAATTTTATTATTATTTCCTTTCAAATTATCTTTTAATTAATAAATTTTTTTTAAGAACATGAATTGAATTTCCTCTACGTATTAATTATATCTTATCCAATTGTTATTGTTGTTTCGGGAGAACGAAAAGTGCAGCTCGTCTAGCCAGTGCTAGATCGGAAATAAAGCTGTGCAAGATCGGGAAAGCTTTTGGAAGCTCTGTGGGCTGCCTCGTATATGTTCACTTTGCAAATCAGTCGACTCTCAACTGCATTTGGTATTGCTTGCATCATATAATATTTTGTGTAAATCTAATGTTTCAAGATTAATCAGTGACGGATTAAGTTGGTAATTTATTCAAAAATTCCTTTGGCTTAAGTGATATTTATTTAAATAAATGTACAGGTCACCGGTCTCCTCCATATCCGGAATGAACTGACCTTAAAAAAGTTTGCCAGAGATGACTCAGACTTACAGATAAAATTCCGTATAGAACAATTGTTTTGTATTGTATATTTAGCAGTGAAATGAGATTAATTAAATTATTCTAAGTTTTCCTTTTATTCATGAATTGTTATTAAAACGATGCAGTGAAGAGGCACTATAGCTTCTAGCTACTAGTTCTCATATTAATTTGAGTTAAAACTTAAAAACTGTGAATCCCCTTTTTCGTATTATTTTTAATGTATGGATATGTCGGTGCGTTTGTGTGTGTATGTATGTGTAGGCCATTTGATTTGAATGGAAATTTCATCAACAGCTTTCGATACCTCTTTAAATACATTGAATAAGTATACTTCCAAGGCGGTCAATTCGAGATATGCCAAAGAAACTTCACGAAAAATGCGAATGGCGCTATTTGCATCGAAATTCCGTATGCAGGTGTCATAAGCTCTGGTGTTGGCGTTGTCCGAAAAATACCGTTATTGCTAGCTAATTTCCCAGGTGCATGCTTGCTTGTTAAATTGATGTATAGCATGAGGCCAAGTCCGAAGCCAAGTCCGCATCCGGATCCATATCGATGGCATGGCCAAAAAGGGGAAAACGAAGCCATGTTGGAGGAGGAAGGGATTGTGAGTGAGTTTACACGGAAAGGAAATGTCAGCTTTTATAAACGATTCTTTTTAGAATTTTAAATCGGTTGGAATCATTGTCTTACAACAATTTTTTACTTATTCTCTTTTCTATCGATAATAGTTTGGCACAGTCCGATAGATCATACAAAATATCAAAATATAAGTCGTATATCACAACGATAAAGATTTCATCTATAGATTTTTTTTCCTGTGCAGAATGTAAGGCACCCGGCAGCAGCATAACTGAAAATATTGTGAAAATGGCATTGGTCGCCGCACACAACAATGGCTGCTGGGATGGAGCAGGCACCTGTACAGGCTCCTCTCGGCCCTTGTCTCCTCCAGTGCCTGGAATTTGCGGTCGGGTTTTTGACACAAATTTTGCCGATGACATGTTCAATACACAAAGCTGCGTGCTTAAGTTCGCTCATCCGTATTGTTGTACCATGGAGCCCCCGGACTGCATGTAGTCCTCAATATTTGCAGCCAGCACGTGTTTAGGGTTGCCACAGCGCCGTTTGTCGTCCGTGTGAGTGGGGGTTTTCTCTCTCTCTTTCAAGAGAGACATTGTTGCCAAAGTGGCGATTTTTATAGCTAAAATGGAGTTTTTTAAAGAAGGTTTCTGCTGTTTTTAATATTTGGTAATGTTTTTTGTTCTTCGGAAATTTGTATATTTCGATAAAGTATCGAAAATAGTCGATAATGCCGATATATATATATTTTAATATCTATTAGAAGATTTTGGATTGCAAGGAATACCTATCCAGTAATTTATATATATTCTTTAGACGTTTAAAGAAACCCTGCACAAAAATAGAACAATATTATATATTTATATATATATTCCAATTTTTTTTAAGCTACAAGAGTCGGCACTACTGTTCAAAGAACAGGAGGTGTGTGTTGTGTGAGTCCCAGCTTCATTTATCACACACTCCCTTTCGTTTGGGAATAAGGGAAAAAGTATCCCGCTTTAAGGCACTCTTTGGCCGGTTTAAATTTGCATTCCTTGCTGTCAGCGGGTGTCAAATAAATTTGACAATACGTATATACTATGTATGCTACCCGGCCTCCGCCTATTTCCGTAAGCCGCATTATCCTATTAAGGGATTTAATGGAGTCACACACGCGCGCTCGCAACTTTGTCTCATCATAAATCTGGAAAGCCAGCACAGCGGGTAATTCTCTGTGGAGCGTAGAAAATAAAAAAAATGGCTGGGGGCTGAGGAAGTTGCTGGCCTGCTGGAAGCCGCAAGCTCGGCATTGTGTGATATATATCCCCCATATTGGATATTTATGCCCTTCACTTACCAGGTACCGTATGGATTTATGCGGCACCGATTATGGCAAATGACCAAAGTTGCTCCACACACATACAGCCCAGCCCAGTCCGGCCAATTCCCTCAAATTAGCCAAAAAGCTTGAGAAGTGCCCAGTGCCAAAGACGTGCGGCATTTAAATTATTTTATCAGGACCACCGAAAATTTATGAACTTCAAAAACTTTATGATAACACCCTAGGGACCGTTTTGGGCCCCGCACTCTCTGTGAGAAAATATATATCGTTGGCCATTTGGCCAACAAGTTGTGTGGCGGCGGCATAGAAGCCTTCTTGAGCTAACCAAATGTTAATGGCGAAACGTCTTTGCAACATTTTGGGGGTTCTTCCCGAAATACATTTCGCTAAATTTGGCCACAAAAGAATGTGAAAATTTTAAGACAGCAAAAGTTTGATTTTGAAATCCGGCAACCGGCATTCTGTACAAACTTTTAGAGAGGTTTAAGGCTTCAACATTGTCCACTCGAGACGCTTTAATTGGAAGCTAGCTTGGTGCCCCTTTAACCCCTCAATGCCTACAGTCTAAGCCACCCTCCCCTCCTTGGGGGCCTGTCACAATCCATAGCCGGCAATTCTTTTTCCGTTTGTTTTGCTGCGCATAGTTTTCCATAGGAGAGGAACCACAAAAAACGACTTTTCGATTTTGAATTTAGTTTTTGCTGTGGCCCGGAGTGTGCACTGTGAAAAAAATTTAAAAATTTTAATAATAGAATTTATTTAAAGTAAACTGTGATTGTGAGTACAAAATAAAATTCTTAGAAAATTTATTTCGGATTCCAAGGTTTTCTAAAGTAATGTTGCTTTGCTTTTAGCTGTAGAATTCCTTGAAATATTATTTTATTATTATATACTTAGACTTTTAGACCTTTTTTTTAACTGTTTGACAGCAGCACTCTCTGACATAATAAAATTCGTGTCCTGACATATCTCAGCAGGCTTGTCACACGTGTCGAAGCGTTGCAGAAATCTGGGTGGGCACCCAATGCTCCTCGATGCCCATTTTTATGTTCAGCCTCCCCCCGTGGACTATTCAAATTGTTCATTTTACGCTCTCTATTATGGTTGTGAATGCAAATTCTAGTGTTGGCTCTTCCTTGTTTTAGGCTGTCGGGGGGCTAAGGCCTAATGCTTTCAAAAGCAATTAGCACTGACATTGCCCGAACTGAAGACATTGCTTGTCATTTCCTTTAAACGATTTGTCATGATGGCAATGCGAAAGGTTTGATAGTTAGGACTGGAGTCATGATTGATTAGCCGCCTGCGGGGATTCCCCTGGGTGTTTAGTAAATAGTTGCAACTGATTAAGTAAGGGGTCCGAAAGGGGTCCAAGCAAGGACTAAGGCAGTATTTAAGTAAGAGAAAGAAGAGAATTATAAACATTTAAATAAAGCGATGTTTTATATTCCACATTGAATTAAATTAAACCACCTTCCCCTTATTAAAAAGATTTTGGCAGAGAACTATAAAAGAACAGAGAATTTATTTAGCCAAGTCGATCATCGCATCAGCTCCATAAAATTTCCCCTTGAAATGAGGCATGCCTGCTGTAGCTTACCTGAAATGCATTTAATTTAATTTCGACATTTTTCCGCACTCAAGCTGAGTAAACCAATAAAGTGCAAAGGCAAAGAAGAAGCTGTGCTCCACTGCACCAAAGTTGAGTAAGCTGCCTGATTAAATTTACACATCGAACCGCAACTGTTGCACGTTGTTGGCCCATCGGAAAGGGCCATAAAAGGCAAAGGAGTTCGGGCAAGTTTTATATCTTTGCCGGCAGCAGGAACAAAGCTGGGGGAAGCTCCTTACCAGAACCTGCTGCCTGGCTGTGCATTAAGGGAGGCAAACCAATTGATGGCTGCCAAGCAGATGTTCCTTCGTCAATTGCCTGTAAGTGGAGGGTTGTAAAAGTTCTTATAGTCGGGTGCACGCTGCGTATGAGCAATGCCACCGAATTAAGCCTGGGAAATAGTCAAATTCTTGGAGCATCTCCAGTGGCTTTGGTTTTTTTGCTTTTGCTTTTCTATAAACCATTCTGAAGAGGACCCAGGGATGGATAGCTCACTTCAAATGTTAATCAGAGCCGGCCTGGCCGGCCGCATCCTCCTCGAACTCCGTCCGGATGTGTCAAGTGTAGCAATATTGATGTGCAATCTCGAGAGCTGCAACCGCACAGCTCCTCAATTTGCATGCGCCCGGCCACTCGAAGCAGGGCTGTGAGCGGTTCGAAATGCATTTTCAATGGGCAACGGCCGGGGCAGTAGTCCTTACAAGCTTCATGCATAAATTCAAATGTTTTTCCCGGCCAATAAATGGCAGCCGGACCCGGGCCCGACATTGTCTCTAAGATATATGAATCGGCAAACAAATGGTTAGCCATTTTTCACTGGGCCGCATTATGCAGCAAGCTTCGAGCATGGAGTGGGTTTCGATCCACGAGGTTTGGGTTTGCATAGTGGCAAAGCATCCCCACATGAGTCTATTTGAATAATTATTTATTTGTAACACTAAGTCGAAGCCTAGAATAATACTGTTTATAATTTATAATAGAAAATTTATCATACTTTTAAATAAAAATCTTTTTTAAATATAATTCATGTTTTACAACCGCAGTAAAGGACTGACTTCACTTCACTTCAATTATTTTAAGAGCCCTTTTCCCCGTCACTCATTTAGCCAAATCGATGCGAAATGATGCTGCTCCAGCTTGCTCCACAATGCAATCAGCAACAATAGCAATCCGCCACGGAAACGGAAGCAATTTTCATTTGCGTTGAGTTTGGTTTTAGCTCGGTGTCGTCCTCTGCGGTCGCTTAGGAAAATGCAGGAAACTGCATGAGATGGCGGGAGAGCAGGAAAAGGCGACACATGCTCGGCGACATGTTACCAACATAATTTCTGCCTGGCACACACAATGGGCCAAGATAGATGAGAGGGGGGTAGGGGGACCAAGAGACCCGGATAACCGGAAAACCGCAAATGATGCAAGTGCGCTCTGTGCAGTAAATGTGAATTTTTATTAAATAAATTGTCGCTTCTCCGTTTCGCCATTCTTGCACCACAAAATAACACCGTTGGTATCTCATTTTTGGTTTTTTTGGTTTCATAAACAGTCACACTTTATTATGGATTACGGTTATTGCTGTGTAAAATAAATACAATTTATCCGACTTAAGTTTACGTAAAAATGCCAAGTTCTGTTATTGATTCGATGAGTTTTTCTGGGTAATGGATAACACAAAATCGTTTGGGTTTCTAGGAAGGGATCCATGCCTTATCATCTAATTTTATATATATACCATATATATAGTTTTTTAATGTGTCTGGGAAATCTATGCCACTAACTACGTGCTATTTTTTTTAAATGTTTAATCTTTAAATTCTCAAACAGCGGCTGCTCAATTTTGAATCGCATTTGCCAAATATACAATTTGTTTATTTTTTCCATGAACACTCAGTTTTTTGTGTTTATTTTATGGTTCGCTTGCCTTAATACTTATTTACAGAATACACTTGGTTTGTTTTGTCCTTGTTTTTTAATTTTTTTTTTTGTTTAATTTTTTTTGTTTATCACATTTGAAATGTGTGAAATTATTCGTGGGTCGGCTTTTATATACAGATGCGCATATAAAAATGATTAAAATTAAATTACCAATTACAAGTATCTTAGTGAAACGCCTGGTAAAGTTATTTAATTGTGAGAATGGCAGTTCGGAATTGATTGGGCCGCGTCCCAGGCCATTTTAGATGATGATAGCGACTGGAGGAGCAGACTGGGGAGTAGGCTCCGGGACTCCAGTCTGGAGTGATTAATGAACTTAATTGCGAACTCAAATCCTAATTACTGCATTACTTCGATGTGACCCCGCATTGCCATTAATTATACGCCCCGTCCGCCGGCGGCAGCAAGTATACGCCCCGCAGTCCAACTCTCCTGCGGCTTACGTCGGCGTCGTGTTCACTCGACCCAAAACTGAGGCTGCGGCTGCTGAGGAAGTGACTCCACCTCCCCTGGGTCAGTTAACGCTGACCAGCGGCTCCAGCGTGCTGCTCAGATGCACCAGCTGCTGCTGCACCTCCCGCAGGCTGGCCAGGCTGCCCTCCATCTGGCGGTGCATGGGCGGCGGTGGTGGCAGCACCACCACCACAGCCTCCGCGGGCGTGGGAATTGGAGTGGGCGTGGGCATGGGCGAGGGAGCTCCTGGCGGAAGCAGGGTGGCCGCGGCCGCCACCGCAGCCATGGTCGTGGCCGAGCCCGGCGAGTGTGAGACGCTGTACATGAGGCTACCCATGCTGGGATGCTGCTGATGTTGGGGCGGCGGTGGTGCCGGAGGCAGCATCATCTCGTCAATTGTGCAGACACGATCATCGACGGGGAAGGTGAAGTTGATTTCCTTGCCGCTGTCCTCGGAGACCCCGTGCAGCGGCGTGCTGCCGTTGGCAGGACTCAGGCTCAGCCCCATTGCCTGCTGCTGTCCATTTGATTTTGGCCCGGTTCCAGTGGAGGAGGAGCCCTGTGCCGGCGAGGTGGCCAGGGTCAGTGTGGTGGTCGTGGTCGGTGAACTGCCATTGCCCAGCGTGGTAATTGTGGCCGTCTCCAGATTCTTTTCCAGGCATTTGCTCTCGCCTGCGGAAAAACCGAAAAAAATAGAGAGGGAAAAAATCAAATGGAGAAAATGTGATAGTAAACGTAGCTGTTCCAACATAAATACACTTAAAAAAATATATTTAGTGTTAAAAAAAATTAAATTATTTAGAAATTTTGTGACAAAGTTGAGAGTTTAAACAAATATTTAGGACATCAGAAAGAAAATGTTAACTGTTATGTAAAAATCTTTTAAAAGGGTTTTCTTTAAGTTTTACTTTGTACAAATTTTATTAGCAGCAAATTTATTTGTTTATTTAGATTAAAATTACTCACAAGTTTAGCAAAATTAATTAAAAGCTTAAAATAATTATATCAATGTTTCATAACTCGTTTTTCTTAGTGTTGGTCGCCCAACTGGGACACTGAAAGGCTGCGGCCGCGTCACAGTTTTCCACATTTTACTCAAATCTAAGAACTCCCTTTTGCAGGACGAAGGGTTGAGTAGCAGAAACAGCAGTTTTTGCCTGCTGTCAGCTAAAAAAAATTTCCGTATTTTCCTATTTTTTTTTGCGCAGTTTTTTTCCTCCGCTTATCGTGGGAATCGAATTTTTGTGTGTGGCAAAAAGTTTCAGTTGTGGCCGGCCGACAGCCTCTAAGGCCATTTTATTGTTTGTGCAGAAATGCTACAATTGCGTAAATTCAGAAGTTTTCCTTTGTTTTCCATTCGCCCAGAGAGCGCCCTTTTCCTTCCCCCAGCTACATTTTTTCTGCGTCTCCCCCGAGTGCGTTCTGCTGAATGGGAAATGGGCGTAGGGAAATGGGAAATGGCTATAGCGACGTAGACGGTGAGATGCCCCAGGGCCAATTTCAGGTGAGCACAAACATTAGCGCCAAACTTGGTCAGTGTGAAATTTATTTATTCGCCAATTTAGTGGGAGACTCGGAAAAGGGAGATATGGGGTAAGGGGAAAGCTAAGGACCCGGGCATAATGAAACACGTCCTTGTAATTAATTAAGTGCGGCGACTTTTTCCTCTTTTTTTTTGTGCTTTTTAATTTGGTGCCGGTGAATCATGCGCGTGCCTGGATCCGGTATATAAATCGCCGGATGTCTTTGGTCGTTTTTACTTCATCGCCTGCACTTGGCAAATTGCCCAAAACTCCACGTTTCTCTGTTTTTTTTTTCGCACCTGCAATTAAATTTAAATTCAGGTGCTAATCTCTACTTACTGCCATTAAGATGATTCTCTCTGGTATAGTAACGAGCCCGATTCTTCGAGAAGCAGGCCACCAAGGACAGTATAATGACGGCAATTAGCACAAAGATGATGCCACCCAAAATGGCCAGAGTATTGAGACCGCCTGTCGGGGGGAAATTAACATTGAGATTGAGAGTATAAAGGTAATGGCATTTGCATTTTGGGTGCTTATATTATGAACTTAAAGTACAGGGGATTTTTTGGATAAGGAAAAAAAGAAAAAAGGCTGATCTTTTGGAGGAGTCTATAAACTTTTTGGATTTGATTTCAACTTAAGACTCACAAAAAATCTAATTCGGAAAGGAAAAATGATTGTTTTCTATAAATATGTTAATATTTTGTATATATATCTCTAAAATCAATTTAATCACTTCATGCAAAACCATAAAGATGGTATTACCATATCTCTGAAGTGCATCCCTACCGTGCTCAAGAAAGTTATAGGATGTGCTGGCTGCATTTTGCTCCTCGTCCGTGATGAAGGTCAGGCACGTGTGCAGCCCGTTGATGTCCAGGTTGTTGATTTCGGCGCCTCGCAGGCTCTTGGGCAGGAAGCAAATGGGATACGTATCCCACTTCCACTGAAGCTGCAGAAGGGAAGAGGCATCATCAATCAGCGACGGCTTTGAAAACTAATTGAATTCGAATTTTCCCCAGCTCCCCCTGGAGTTTATTTTATTTTCACCCGACAAGGGAATTCCACTTACTTGGCGCACGACATTTATTAATTTCCCCATGTGACATTCATCGCATATCAGCGGATTGTTGTCGAGGCGCACGTTGCGAATGCCTTGGATCCTGAGCGCAGTGTCCTCGCTGATGCCGTGTAATTGATTCCGGGATAAATCCAAAAACTGTTGGGGCCAAACCGGAAACGAGGTCACCAAAAATGGCCAACAAAAGTTCAATTAAAAGTGCATTACAAGGGGTGAGGAGGAGTGCAGAGGAGCAGTAAAGGAAGATGGCTCGTTGGCAAACAAAAGTTTAATTTTTATTGGAAAACTATGCTGGTGAAATGACAATTAGCTTAGCAATACGTATTGTTGCACTTGGAGAAATTTTGTATTAAAAGGAGACAACAGAAAAGATTTTTGATAATTTTTAATACAATTTTTTGAGGTTAAAATATATATTTTAAGAGTTAGGGTTTAAGTTTGACTTGAATATATATTTTTTAAAACAGAATATGTATTTCTTTATAAAAATATTTAAAAGTTAATACATTATCTGGAATTTTGTAAATTATATGAATAAGGAAAGTTTATTTTAGCAACTTAAGCCCAAGAAATCTACTAAATAAGACTTTCCAAGATAGTGTATATTTTTTTGCAGTGTCCTAAAGACACACAGAAGTGGCTACAATCAGGCAAAACAATTTGGTAATTTTTGGGGCCAGCCACAACAACAGGGCCCGGGATGGCTTGAGCGAAGTGTATACACAATTAAATTCAATTAAAATGAAAGGCTTAATGGCTATAAAATAATTGTTGTTGCTTCTGCTGCTGCTCCGGCTGTTGTCTTTGTTGGTGGACAATAAATTTGCCATAGTCAACAGCAACAACAACAACAATAGCCAGCAAATTCGATGGCACAGGACACTGTGGCAACAGAAAGGATACATACATCCAGTCGGTGGATAAGAGGGATGACTGACAGCAGGGCAGGCGACAGGGTGACAAACAAACAAACGGACAGATAGTGGGCCAGAGGCCCGAGTCCGGATGGGTAACGAAATAAAGCCACGGCTTTGGCTTGTTGTCAGAAATGTATAAACAGAACTGGGAAACGCTAACGAAAACTGCAAATTCCAGTAATGGTGCCAGGATGCAGTCCAGGGTCCTGCTATTGTCGCCATGTTTTACAGTGAAATATTCTACAAATTGGCCAGAAAGAATCCACACACACACACAGATATACAGATACAGACACGGCATCAGGACAATAGATCTCCGGGATAAATGCGAGGGCCGGCAGAATTATGGCCACCTGTGAGTGACTTACCTCCAGCTCCCGACATGGATCGATGACCTCCAATGCCGTGTTATTCAAGGAATTGCCGGATATATTCAGATACCTGAGCTGCTTGAAAGGATGCAGCAGGCCAATGGGCATTTGGCCCATATCAGCAATGGCCAGATGGGTTAGCTGGGGTATGAGCTGCAAAGGAAAAAATGTTTGAGGAAAAATGTTCAAAGGAATGTCATAAATCAATAGGAAAGCTATTGAAATCATTGAGAGCTGGTCATAAATAATTTCTTTATATTCAATAAAAATTTATCCAAAGTTCAAACTCACCTCAAAGGTGTCGCGCATCTCCCTGAGATCCATCTGCACATTTCCGCTTATATTGAGGGTCAGCAGATTGCTCAGACTCCTTATAGACTGCGGCTCCAGACGCACCAATTTGTTGTAGGACAAGTCCAGGAATGTCAAATTGGTCAGCTGCAGGAACGAATCGTTGGGCACTTTGGCCAGCCGATTGTACGATAAATCTAAAGTAATTTCAAGGCGAAACCAAGGACCCCAAGGAATAAAGAAAAGAAATGGAAAGCAATTGAGAATTTGTTTTTCTGACAAAATGTGGTAGGGGGGAGGGAGTATAATTTGTGTGGCGCACCCAAATGATTAAGACTCTTCTGCATGCGAAAGAGTTGGTCCACCACCACGGACAATTGATTGCCATCCAGCAGGACCTTGGTGAGGCGCTTCACATCCCGAAACTCGTCCTTGTCGAGGAACTTGAACTGTGCGGCAAAGAGAAAATAATTGGAAAAACGTCTTGACTTTGAGAATGAGAAAAAGTCGCGGAGACAAACCTCGTTGCGTCCCAAATCCAATTCGCTTAAAAGCGGCAATAAATTGTACATCTGCGGATTGATTTTTTTCAGCTGACAATTGCGGCACTTGAGCACTTTCAGTTCCTGTGGCAAAACAAAGCGGGTTTTTACTGTGGCTCTTGAAAGGAATACACTCGGAGATTAAAAAGGACATAGAGAGGGGACTTTACATATATTTAAGCTCTTATTTGTTTTAAAATTTATGAAATTCATAAGTTTTAAAATGATTTCCATTTGGTGTTAAAGGATTCAAAGGGCAATTATTATTCCGAGTGTTGGGCACATGCAGGAAACTCACCGGCACATCGCGAAACACATCCGGCTGTAAATCCTGGAGCGGATTTCCGCTCAGGTCCAGATACTTGAGCCTGCTCAGCATGAAGAAGTTGCGCTGCACGAGCTCCACAATCGAGTTGTCTGCCAAATTAAGACGTCGCAAATCCTTTTTCAGTTAAAAGGGAGAAAGAGAGAGAAACGGTTTACCAAGTTTATTATGGCACGCACTGAATTAATAATGTTTTATGATCAGACCAGGCACTATGGCTAATAATTCATAAATCAGGCAAATATTGCCAGGACGTCCGGAAACTGCCAAGAAAGTTGCAGTTGCTGCAGCCACTTTTGGGGGAGAAAAAGAGGAAGTCACCAAGCGCTGAGCAAAACAAAATCGAAAGCAAATTGAAGACAACGAAACTAACTTCTGTGCAGTTGCACTTCCACTTCCATTTCCGAGTCCTACTTCTTGGCCAACTTAAATTCGAGCACGTACAACTTTCGCCCCGAAAAGTAGGCAACAAATTTGCAGTAGCAACAACATGGCTATTAAAAATGCCGCACAATTTATTACGGGCCAGGATACGGGGCAAAAAGGAGTCGTGCAAAAATTGCAATCATCTTTGAGTTTAAAACTTGTGGCTGCGTATCTGCAATTGGCATCCTGTCAAGGATTGCAGCATGGCCTTGTTTTTCTTTAACTTGGCTGATCAAACAACAATCAGTGTTGTCCTGGCGTAATTATGTTGAACAACTCTCTACATTACACAATGCGATTTCATGTCATAAAAAAGCAGACACAGAAAAAGCGACAAACAAAAGGATATCATCATCAATCAACGCCTGGTTATGTGTACTCACCGTCAAATGGCGAAAAGTTGAGCTGGCCATGCGTAAAATTTTATTTTTCGATAAATCCAATTCAATGAGATTATCCTGGCCCCGAAAGTTGTTCTCCGTTATGTTGGTTATATTGTTCTTGGACAGATCTGCAATGAATGGTAATTGTCATTATTATTTCATCAATAATAAATGAATAAATATGAAAATAAATAAATAAGCAAGCAGGGAGATAGTGAGTATATGTATGGGAAATTAACTGGTATTTCAAAAGGATTTCCTTGCTGGCCAAAAGCATTTCACAGTCTTTATAGCCGCAGCTAAAAAATCCCAAAGCACATTACACATACGCCCCGTTGTCTAGCGTAGAGCCAACAGACCACGCCCCCCTTAAACATTCTACAAAATTAATTTAAATAGAAATAGGAAAAAGCGGAAAAGGAAGAGCGAGGGCAAAGGAAATGCCAATTGTTCCGCTGCTCTTTGCTGCCAGAGAAAACCAACAGAACAAAAAAAAACTGCAGCAGGACTCGCCTCGGGTTTATTTTTGCGAGCGTGTATAACTCCTGACAGGCGAATGAAACACCAATACCCGGTCGGGATTCCGGGGCGGGAAGCCCCAAAAAATAAGATCCGGGCATGTAAATAATTGGAGGGCAGGACCGCCAGCGGGGAGGCGGCGTTGGCACACATAAAGCACAAATAAACAAGTTTAAAGCCCCAGCGATATCGGGCATTGCTTTCGCTGGCTTTACACTTGCTTCCACGTCCACGTCGACGTCCTCGTTCCAGGTCCCATTCCCAATCGCATTTTATTTTTCGGGGTGCTTTTTGCTGTTTGGCGCATCAATTTCAATTTTATTGACAAGACAACAATCGTTCGGCGTTGCAAAAACGAAGCAGCAATGCTCTTTTTTTTGAGTGAATGTCCTTAGTAAAAGTTTTAGTGCCTCTGCGTCTTGCTTGGAATGATTTAAATATATTCAAGGACTTTAAAATGAAGTTTATTAGGTAAGGAAATGGGATTTGTCTTTTTGTTTAATTAAAACATGAAAAATTCGGAAAAAAATGATTTGAAATAATAAAGAGTTAGCTCATTTTGGAAAAATTAAAAACAAAACCTTTTAGCTTAAATTTAAAGCACTTTCGTAGCTCCTTGAACTCTGGTTTTGTGTTTTACAACTTACAAAATCCCTAAAATTCCTGACATTAAGACATTAAGTTTCTTTATATTAGGCTCTTCCGTTCCAGACATTAATCCTGTAGTTTACTCTATACTTTGCCTTGCTTGAAACGCACAAGGATGTACGAGATACTCCTGCAGGTCCTCCTGCCTTATCCTGTTACTGCCCTTTCTCGGCCTGCCACTGGTATGCTCATTTAACATTTTGCGACGCGTCCGCTGCTTTATTTGCGTTGGCATTTCACTCTTTTTTTTTTTACGAGCCTGCAGGACAACAGCATCGCACTGACACGCCCCCTGTTATCCTGTCCTGCGATTGTTCTCCGCATTATTTGCATATCAGCGAGTTGGGCTTTTTAAGTACATTGCGCTGCTGCTTAAATTGAAATCGCTGCCTGCGGTTCGGATTTATGGGAATCGTAAACCCATTGATTACTCACCTAATATACGCAGATATTTGAGGCCCCAGAACGATTCGGCTCCGATTGCCGGCAGATTTGATTCCGTGATGCGCAGTATCTCCAGTTTCATGAACTGCCGGAGAGCCGGTCCAATGGTAATGGAGTTCCTGGGCCCACGGATGATGATAACCTTCACATCGATGTCCAGCTCGTTGGGTGTGAGCAGGGAATTTAGGCCACCTGCAAAGGTAAAACAATGGGAAACAAAAGTTAAAGCTAGTTGAGGTCGAGGGGCCAGACGAGGGAATAAGACTTGAACTAATTTTATCGCAAATTTCAAAATTTTAAAAAGTTAATTGTAAAGAAATTTGTTGTATACAAATTTTCCAATATTTATTAAAATATATTTCCATATTTTCCATATAAATTCAATGCCTTTTCTTGTCTATGTTTGTACATCCCTAGACTTAATTTTCAGTTAAATATCATCAGAAAATAGCTCTCTTATCACAAATCCCGCTGTTAATATTATTTTTCCACTGCACGTGTCCTGGCAACAATGCAAACAAGATCATTAATTGCACACCCAACCGAGTGGAGCTTTATATATATATATATATATATTTTTTTTTGTAGCGCCAACAATGTCGGGCATTGGCGTGGCATCTATTTAGAATTTGTGAAGCTGCTGCGAGTGCAAAAGAATCCCAGTCACCATTAACATCGCATTTGTATGCAGCACAATTTTTACTCTCACCCATTGTATTTTTCTGGGGCTTCTGGTTCTTCTGGGCTTTATCCATTTTACATTCATTTCGCCTGGCAGTATGTAAGAGAAGTTGCACTATAATGCGCCCATTGTACTCCAAGGGGAGGGTTGTTTTCAGCGGTTTTATGTTGGCTGAGCACGCGGCGGGAATTTTCATAAAAATGCTGAGCATTAACACTGATTGTAACGTATTTTAACGCGCACCCAGTTTTATTTTGTTTCGTTGTATTTTATTTTTTTTATTTTTTGGCGAGGTCATTGCTGGCACAAAGGACACTGGGTTGCTCATTAGCTTAGCTGCAAAAATTCTAACAAATTGCGGCTTAGATAAAATTAGCTGAATTTATTACAGAGAAAAAGGATGAGTGGCTTTCATATTTTAGGGGATTTTTTTTTGTTTTTTTAACTTGACATATGGTTGGGTTTCAGGACAAAAATAAAGGTTTTACACGCCCCTAAGCTTAGCTTCCGAGTTACAAATTAAACTGCTTTCATTTGGTTGTTTTTATTTTGATTTTTTATCTTAGAGTAAATAGATGCCTTGAATATTTTTCTTTTTAATGCTAAGAATACAAATATTTCTCTGATTTCATTCATTGATTTCTTCTCTATAAGATTTTTCCATCAGTTTTCTCTAAATCGATTAAATTAAAATGAGAATCTCATATTTTAAATCCTATTACCACTGCCTGAGCTTGTTCTAAGCCATTGGCAATTATTAAGAGCCCAACAGTTTTTGAAATGGAATTAAAAGTACATTGAAGAAGCAGCTCGCATTCAAAGCAATTCGAGGACTTTAGTCCTGGAATGTATGGAGAGTGTGTGTGTGCGCTGGCCAAACAAGCGTTAAATTGAAATTATAGATTTTCGGTGAGCGAGAGCGTGTGGCCAAGGGAAAAGAAAAGAAAATCAGATGTGCTAGTAGGGGAAATCCCCAGCTACACAGCCACGACGACGGCAAATGACAGTTGAACAAATTGAAATTGTCAGACATTTAAGGGAAATAAATGGGCAAGCTTTAAAAGTAATGTCCCCCATCCGAGTCGCGTGAGAGCGGGGAATCGCAAATCGAATGCGAGCCAGGATATGTAATTATGATAGTATCCCACTGAGAAAACCAATTTTTCTCTAGCATTTTGCATAATTTGCAAGAGTTTACTGGTTTTTCCTTATCTCGCCTCGACTCCGCATTTTCCATTTTGCATTTATTGCGCCACTTACCTTTTGTGCAGATGGCCTGGTAACGATCCGACTCGTCCATGCTGCATTGACATTCAATGGGGCACTTCCTTCTCGTGTTGCTGAACATCGCCGGCATTATGCTCAGGCTGAACAGCAGCCACTTGAACAGCATCTGATGGAGACAGACAGAAAAAAAGCAGGGAATGACAAACGAAGAAAAATCGAAGGTTAGTCCAGCATCTCAGTCTCAGTAGTCTGTGGTTTTCGGAATGCAATTAGTGCCGAGTCTGCCTTTGTGGCAGCCTCTTCTTGATGTAGTTACTTCTGCCATGAATATCTTTGTCTAAACCAGAAGTTTAAGCCACAATGAAGAGGGTTTCGAAAGGGCTTAGCACTTAAGAAGAAGGGAGTTTTATTTTAATTACTTACTTAATAAATTTATTAAGAGAAGAATATTATTATAAATTAAATATAACTTTTATTGCTTTGATATATTCTAAGATTTCTTTTAGAGATAACTTAAGCATTCATTTAAGACCCTTTAATAATTTTTAGGCTCCTTTAAAACTTGCTCTTTTTTATCCTTAAATTGCATAAATTCACATTCCCATAGAAACTTTCGAAAAATCTCCACAGTGACTCTTCTGTTTAATTACTTCGCCAGTTGATTGAACGACTCGCTGAACTAATTTAACTTTTCACCTCTTTGCTTTCTGCTTTCAATTACCGCAGCTGCTAATCTACATATAGAACCGCATGCCCAAACACACTGACTAACACCCACCAAAGACCCATTCAAATTGAAATCAACGTGGTGTCACATGTTGACATGGTCTCAGCTGCTCCTCTACACTATATATATTTTTTGTACAAACTACATACACAGTAAGTTCAGTGGTTTTGTTACATAGTTTCGTTTTGTGTACGTTGCGTATACGCCGTGTTGACCTCGGTGATTTGTGGTCGCCAGCAGCAGGATATGGGGAGGCAGCATAGCCAGAGGACACTTGTGCGGCACCGCGGCCAACGATAAACTGTGGCAGCGGTGCTGGTCTTGCGGTCCCGATGCAGCCGACGTGCTGCATAAATTAGCCGCAGCACATTGTGGTTACAAAACAATACAAAAAACAAAGCTGCGAATCAAAAATAACAGGGAAAAATGGGAGTAAAGGTGTTTTTTTTTTGGATTTTAAAATAATTTTTTCAGATTAATTTAATTAGGTAAAAAACTAAGGGGAGTTGTAAACATTTCTATAAATGTAGTGACTTCTAAAAAAATTATTCTCAATGTTTAAATAATATATAAAGATTTCAAGCCTTTATAAATATAAAATCTTCAATTTTTTATTTAAGAAATATATTATAGAAAAATATAAATTAATAAAAATATGGAAGATTGTTCATAATTCCAAAAAATAAATATTTTTTAATAAATATTTTTGAAAATATGTTTTAGAGATACCGCAATCCTTGTCTTAAAATTCTGATTGTTATTTTTAAAATGTCTGAGGAAATCTTGAGTTTATCTTGTACTTTCCTTTATAAAGAATTCTTCAAAATATTCCCATTATTTTTTTATAATTCAAAGTATTATACATTTTCTTTTCGTGCTCTGCGATAACCATTTTCAATTTCGCCTAACAGCCAAAGCCTGCGAATGCATTGGGAAATTAAATTTCGGCTTGGAGAATTTTTGGCATGGACGCGTCGGATTTTCTTGCAGACATTTCTGGGGGACACGCGAAAGCCTAAGGATTTATGTGCAGCATATTTGCCATTTTACATATTCCGCGAAGAGCAGCAGCAGCAGGAGCAGGAGCAGGAGCAGGAGGAGTAGCAGGCTCCGCGTAAAGAGTTGTCTGCCAGAAGCTGTCAAGTTTGCCGGCTCATCGCCGGCACCTTATGCCGGATTTGTTGTCAGGATATTGCCACTGGGCCCGGCTGAGTAATATTTCTGCAAAGTTGCTGCGGTAAAAGTGAAAAATTGCGACAGCCTCTCTTCCTCACTCTTTCCCTCTGCTTGGAAAACTCCGGCGGCAGGACAGTTTTTTGCACTCAAGTCGGCGCAAAGTTGCCGCCGCACACGCTTAAGCCTCACACTCAATTTAACATGGCACATAATTCACAATAAAGTTCCGAAAACTGCATTCAAAAATGTGCAAGTTGTGTGATATACACAGTGCAAGTGCAGGCGCTGCCGGAATATAAATTCCTTTTGCATACGAGTCCCTCAAGAAGGGAATTTAAATTCAAATTGGGTGTCGCTGCACCTAAGGAATAATGTTTGGGGCGGATTTATGAGCCGCAAATAAAACTTGAAGGCTTTATCGAAGGTAAAACCCACAAAAAAACATTTAAAGCTTTTACTATTTAAATAAAACTCTTAAAATTGTATTCAATTGCAGTTATAAATTGTTTTGTTTGTGTAAAAATATTTGTAAATATTTACTAGGCATTCTTTCTTGTATAATTTTCATTGTTAATCCCAATTTTAAATGCTGTTTCTTGAGGTTCTTGAAGTCCCAACAACCTAAAGTTAATCCCCTTCCCATTGGTAAACCAAACCTAAGATGGATGGCCCAGAAATCAGCATCTGTCGGACTCGTTAGCCGCCAAAAAGGATGGCCCAGGCCAGGGCAGAGAGTGGAGGCCACACAGAACCAACAAGCGGGACCAGTTCCAGCTGACATCCTACACGTGGCACTCGGACTTTTGGCCAACTTTTTCGCCGTCTGCAGATGGCGCACGCGAAGTGGCCAAAAGTGGAAGTCTGTAGTGGGCTGTAGCTACTGATATCGGCTTTCAGCACACAGACTCGTTTGCTATTTAAACATTGGCAAATTTGTTTGGTCCCCTGCCCACACCAAGAGGCAGCCGGAAGCCCGGCAAGAGTGCAAAGTGCGGCATTACTCATACGCCCCGTGAACCGGTCGTCGGCGGATGTGGCATTTAATACGCTCGCTACTTTTGTAATTGAATATGATAAATCAAAGGCAACTAACTCCAACCCCCATTCTCGGGCCTAAGCCGATGCGGAAGTGGAAGTGGAAGTGGTTGGAGCCTTTCCATTCCATTCCATTCTCTTCTCAAATTACACACACAATAAACTCTCATTTGCTGGGCCAGTGAATGGTATTAAATTTGCCTAAATTCAGGACTCGGACTCGGACTCCGACTCGATTCAAAACCAAATAAATCTCAATATTTGCCAAGGGAGCAAAATCAAATTACGTTAAACTCCCGCCAAGGGGCTAAGCCCCCGAAAAATGGAAACAAAACGAGCCGAAACATCTGGCATAGCATTATGAATTATGCCCATCGGTGGGCGTGGTCCTTTCGCTGACCGACGACCGCAGCATTAAAATTCATGAACACATTTATTGCCAATTACTGCAAGGCCCCAAAACACGTTATGTATATATATATATATATATAAATATATATACGCCAAGAGTCGCAGGTCACACACCCAGTCCGAAAAAAAACCAAAAATTGTTGGTAACAACATAAATTTCGGACTCCGTTCGGCCAGATTTTTTTTGTCGGCTCGACTTGCCAAAAGTTTTTGCTTTTTTTTTTGGCACTCCCATAAATTGATAAATTAGATTTACGCTTGAGAAATTATATTACTATATAATATATATTTCCGTCAGCCGATTTGTGTTTTTTCCTTCGTCTGGACCTTTGTTTAATGTGCCAAATTATTTTAAGGCCAGCCTGCGAATATATTTCAAGCATCAGTTTTGCTGATGTTTTGATCTGACATTTAATTTATGACCCGTCTTCGTGTGAGGGAAATTTATTTTTTAAATTATGACAGGCAGGAAAATGTCTGGTGATTTGATAAAGAAAAACTGTTGATTTCATGGAATTTCGTTCAAAAAATTATATATTTTGGGTTTAATGGAAAACCATTTGTTTAAAAATTATTAATTTGGTCTAGAACAAAGAGTTATGCTTATGTTTCAAATTTTGGTAAATCCGAAAATGATGCCTCTTGAATATTTGCCATATTTTGCTTGGCTTTCCTTTATTTTTGGCCAAATTTAGCCATTTGAAGTCCACGCGTGTTGCGAGCAGACCAAACATTTTTATCAATTTCCAGCCACAAATTCGAGGCTCGTGGCTAGGAAGTAAGCTGCCCGGATTGAGCCAAGTGGCAGTGGCGATGCGTGATTATGCCCAGACCGTAGAGCACTGAGAGAAAATTGGTCTTGAAAAATATAGTTAAAAGTTTTCATTAAAAGGTAAATACAAAATAAATTAAAATTATTTGGAGAATGTCTTTAACTTTAATTTATATTTAAATTATAAAAAAAATTTAAAAAAAAATTAACCATATTTTTCTGGCCCTGTACAGGGCCGAAAGGAGGACCAGGCAGCCCCAAAAATGATAGACACAATGCTGCATGGTCACGAAACTGCTCCTCGGCCTCCACCTTCTCTGCCCGGCGGCGGCGGCATAAAAGACTTGAGCGATTAGTTGGCGGACGTGCGGTGCATGAGAGCGAGGAGGAGCACCCCGTATCCTTGGGCCGGGATCAGACGGCAGGTCGAGCTGATGTAGCCGCACATCTGGTGGTGGAGGATGGAGCCAGAGCCAGAGCAAGGCCAAGAGCAGGAGCAGGAGCAGAAACTATAGCTTGAAACGGAATTGGCCACGTGCTGGCCGAATCGCATGCCGGGCACACATAAGGCTAAGCCGCAGGAAAACCGCCGTAGAGCTTTGAGCCACGACGACCGTTTGCTGACCTTCTTGGGGATTTACATGGGAAAAAGCAAAATGTCGTTTATGGCTGCACAGGGACATATGTATGGCCAAGCCCTGTATCTCCAAGGATATCGGAATGGGAGGATATTGTAATTGTTGTTTACAAGCCGAATGTCACGTCCACCTCCTGCTTCACATTTTCCTTGATTTATTTTCACACTCAAATGTGAGAATTTTCATGTAATTGCCTTTGTGTGTGGTCTGTGTGTGTGTGTGGGTGGGTGGGTGGTCACGAGGAAATTTATATAAAATTGCCAGGATAACCTACGGGTGTGTGCAATCAGCTGCAGATTTTGTCGCTTGTTTTTTGGGTCATTTGGTCAATGCGATTAGTTCGGGCCACACCCACAGGGCCCACAGGTTGTGTCTGTTCTTGGATGTGTGGGTGCGTGTGTGTGGGTGCGTGTCCTTTGCGGAAGTGTGGCCAGGATTCTGGGCCAAAAGCATCAGCAGAAGCCAAAGCCGAGAGGGGACGACATTAAGCTGACATTGGCCAATTAGGCACGGCAAATGAGCAGCAATCTTTTGAGGCAATGATGCCTAAAACAGGGATTAGAGGCCCCGACGTCCCTTCACCGCACACTGGCACACTCACGCCCACACCTTGACCACCAACATAGACAGGACAGAGTGGCTACTTGCACTTAACAAAAATGTATTCGAGCTATACTTGCCTTTCTCCATAATATTCTCATTTCAATATTATGATTTTTATTTCCCAAAAGCCACCCATTAAAGTTATTTCCAGTGTAATACCTTATTGCCTGCTTGTCGGAGAGATATTGATTCCAATTAGTTGCCCGCCCTTATTGATCTTCGGCGGCATTAAAGGGAATTTCCGACGAATCCATTTACCTTTCACCAGCTCGAAATTCACTAACTGCGTGTGGCCAGCGCCTCTCCTTTTAAGCTCCAAGAACCCTTCACTTCCACTTCCACCTGCTGACTGTCTTGTGTTTCACTTGGCCAAGCGTGGCAAGATATTAACTTTCAGCGAACGAAACGACATCATCTTGGCGCTGCCTCCACCTCCTACCTGTCAGACCTGTACGGGGTCCGGTCATGGTCACCGTCACCGTCACCGTTCCGACCAGATCCGCATCCGAGCTCCTTTTGTGCGCTTTGTTCGCCCTGTGATTGCGTTTTTAACGCTTCACGCTCCGGAGCCGAGCGCATTGTTTTGCCCTAATTGAATTGCAAATACGGCAAAAGTGCAGAAGAAACTGTGCGCAAGGATTATGGCCTACTAATGGCCAGGTGATTGAGTTAAGAACTCGCCTTAAACGTTGTCCATCCCAGCGCTTAACTTTCAATTACTGGCATCCTCGCAGCTGCGATTCACTGATTTATTTTAATGCACTTTCCGTGTGTCGGGTAGTGGGGGCCTTAATTTCAAATGCACTTTAATGCCAATTGATCTGACAGCGGACACAATGCGGAATTTATTCGATAAATTTAACAAGGGAATTTCGAAAGTGGTTGGGGAAAGTACACTACACTATCTATTGCAGTGTAGTCACAAATAAATAAGATTTTTTTCAAAATAAATTTATAATTACACAATATAAAGCATAATTAATAAATAAAATTAATTAATATTAATTTATTTCAATTTTTAAACAAAAAATCCCTGTTAATTCCCATCTTTTCAAGCCATATTTGTGTATTGTTAAATCCGTACCACAGTCCTGGCTTAAATTGCTTTCAAAGGTTATCCGATGACAGTGGATTTGGGGAAACCGGAATTCCGAAAACTTTCGCCGCTACAACTTAAAGTTGAACCTTTGTGAAACTTTTCGATTTGTCAGCTTAAAGGCGCCAATTTTTCGATTACAAAAGGAGTCTCTCTTACGCAGTATTTCCCCCATTTCTGTTGTTGCCATGTTCTATTTGAGTTGGCACAACTTTCCACTGACTTTAAATTTCGCAAACGCAAATTTTTCAATTAAGCTTGGGCTTGCGAGATTCTTGAAGAGCACTTGAGACCGTCTGCGGAGCCAGAGGAAAGCTGGGAAAGTAAGTGCTCATTGTGGAAGATGTTTCCATTTAAATATATAATTTTTTAATGAGACTCTTAATTACACACCGAGCGGCAGCCGGAGGGAGAGAGAGACTGCCAAACAGCATGTTACAAATAATGCTACAACGCTAATTGTTTCCGCTTGTTCATTTAGCCAATGCTTTCCGCAAAAACACACACAGAAACGCAGAAAGGACACAAGGAACGAAGCCTGGCTGCCTTTTATCATTTGGACACGAAAGACACCAAAGTCGCCTAGTGGTGTCTCCTAATTGCCCTGCCCCACTCGTCGGAGATCTATCGGTTCATTCAATATACTCACAAGCTTTAAGAGCTCAACTAAATCGCTTACAAAAGGTTAAAAACGTTTATATTTAAGATCTTTGCGATGCAAATTTCCGCCTGTATACATTAGATTAGACTCTTTTTCATAACCAACTTCAAGTTATATCCTACATCTTATAAATGTTGTACAGTGAAAAAAATATGTAGATACATAAAGTTTTTTATATTTAACAAATTAAACTTTCTGATACACATTATATTTTAAGCACTTCTACTCGCTACTGTACTCTGCTACCCTGTATTAAAAGAAACTACATACTATAAATAATTCACAATAAATTGTTAAATTTTCAGTTTGAACTGCGGCTAGGCGACTAAAAATCGACTGAATTGCAAAGTGTAAACAATCCTGCGTCATACCAGATAAACAAAATCAACAAACAAAAGATGTTGGTAGCTGAGGACATACATGATTATAACATCAGACAAGAAATAAAATATTTCGGATTAGAATGCGAATCTCATAAAACGACCCACAGATCTTTAAATATGAAAATTAAAGGTTAGTATGTGCCACCATTAGAATTCAGTTTCTACAAAAACCTAACAATAAATAAATAAATAAAATATAATAGAACTATGAAATATTTTACCAAGTAATTAAAATTTTCTACAAATATATTTCTCATTTATGGATATTCCCTAGGAGATCTGATAAACAGAACCAAGAAACAAAAAAAGAACGATAAGATTTTAGACCTCAATAACTACTGTCAACTAGAGATTATGAAATATATTATTGCTGACTGCGAGTTGAGCGATAAATCTCGGGGTAATAAAATGAAATACGCCAATTTGGTAAATTTTGCCCTGGCGTATGAGGTTTTTGAGGTATTATTAGAAGAATACTACAATGATTTATACGAGGAGCTGGAATTCGTTTTTGTGGCGAACAGAAGCAAACTTGAAATAGATTTTTCAGAACTGCTAACCACACTCACAGAAAAAGGAGAAGCTTTCTTGCGAATCTACGCTGAAGCCATCAGAGAAAATAACTTCATACAACAAGTTACACTTTACTTTGACCCAAAATCTTTTCAACCCAAATTTTTGGATCATTTTGAAATAGTAAAACGTGCTCTTGAAAACAAAAAGAGCCTTAAAGATGTAACGATTCGACTTAATGGTTGGTAAGTCCATGCATTATAAGTTACTGAAAATATCTTAAAATGCATTTTTCACTTAAGGATATTCCCTAGAGGATTTAAACAGTTTTGGATACATCACCTATCTCTCTTTGGATGTACGAATGAGGGCAGATGCACTGGTAAATATCTGCAAGTCAAACCCGCATTTGGAGAGTTTAAGTTTTAGAAGCACCGAAATTCTTGGAAGACTCTCAGACATCGTGCCACACTGCTGCAATCTTAAGAAACTAGAGTTCGTGCCAAAGCCGGATAACGATGGAACCGAATATGCACCACTGGCAGAGCTTTCCAACTTACGAGTAATGACTATATTCAGAGCCTTCGAGAATGGCTCTCTGTTGACATTTTTTGAGGCGATAACCAATTGGCAGAGACCAGAGCACCAACTGCTGACAATGAACTTTATCGAAGTCTTGCCACATTTAAGTAACGTTACAATTGCGAGAATGAACTCTTTTTCCCATTTAGAGTTGGGGTATCAACGTGAGGATTATATAAAATTATTGATCTCTTACGACTTTTGGGACATATCTAGGGACAGCAGCCCTTTAGAGCAATCTCTCGCCACCATAACCTTAATTGGAGCAGAGCTAAAAATCGATTGCAAAGGACTTGCCTTGTCTCATTGTCCGACAAGAGATATCGATATAAGACGATTGGTTTCACTCTTAAGGACTTTGAATATACAAAATTTTACTTTAGCAGACTATAGATATAAAGCCCCAATATCAAAACTCTTTGCATCCATGATACCAGACGAATCATATGCTTTGAAATCGGTTGATATACATTTAAGAGAAATAGGCCAAATTGAAACATCTGAACTTGTTAAAATTAAATCAATTACATCTTTGATCTGCAAATTTTTAGGTTGGGAGTCTGTCGAGCTCTTAAGTGCGCTTCCCAACCTGGAAACAGTGCGTATTCATATTAAAGAGGAGTTCGAGAAGACGTATTCAAAGGCACTTTGCAGTCTCTTAAATACCTGCTCGGAAAGCGGTGTCATTACGTGTCAAAATTGGAACATTGAATTTAAAAAGAGCGAGAATATATTAGGCCAAAATAAGAGAATTAAAACTATGATTATTGCAGGCAGAGAAAAAAATTCAGACGTTTTTGAAGCCTTCGGCTACAGAGATTTAATTACGATTGAGGAACTGGATGTTTCAGAATGCACCGGTATAACTATTAAAGATATACTCAAAGTGGCAGAGGTACAGCCGATAACAAAATTAAGAATTTCATTGACCAATACGAATGACATTGAGAGTTTGTCGAACATAACTGAGCTCAAGGAATTGACCATATGTGACTCTGAGGAGGGATCTTTAATAAAGCTGTTCGACCAATTGGCCACAAAGACGTCACCGTCGCTTCAATACCTAGAAATTAAATCAGAAAATCTTTCAAGCGAAGAATTAGTTCTAATTTCCAGAATAAGGTCGTTGAAAAAATTCAATTTATACGAATCTCAGCAGCTTGAAGATTGTGAATCATTGATGGAGCTAGCTAATTCGAATATTGAAGAATTAACACTTTCTCTTCCAGAGTTTTCTTTACAGCAATTATTTTCTGCATTTGCTACAAAAACTTCAGCCAAACTGCAGCACTTGAAATTTAAAGGAGGACTAAGCAGATCTGTTATTATGATTGAGGAATTAGAAGAGCTCTCTAAAATTCAAAGTTTACGAAGCTTGCAAGGCACATGTTGTTGTGACGATATTTCCCATTTGCGCAACTTTAAGCACTTCGTGAAACTAGATCTAAAATTGTTATCAGTAACTTCAGAGGTATTACAATGTTTGGCAAACCTTGAAAATTTGGAGTCCTTGGCCTTGTTTTTTAATGAATATAAGAACTATATTCAGATTTTGTTAATTGATGAATATGTTAACAATAATACAGAAAATGATTATAATGATTATAATGATTATAAATATAATGACCATATTGACGATAATGACAATGATGTCGACGTCCAACATGTTCTTAATGATTTGAAAAATATCAAAAAGCTAACCCTATCAGTAAGCATAGGTGTTAATCTTACAAATGTCTATCAGGCTTTTGGTAGGAAAAGCGTAAAATTAACACATCTAACTACAACGATTAGATGTGTTGAAGAACTAAATGAAATAACGCGAATTAAATCGTTAAGAAATTTAAATATTTTCTTTAGTCGAATTGGTAAAAATATGACAAGCATAAGCGAACTATCAGAACTCGAGTCATTGCAAATTACTGTAGTGTATTGGGAAATTGCTAATATAAGGGATAGTATCCTATCCTTTTTAAAGTGCTGCAAAAATCTCGACCGCCTTTTAATTAACACATGTTGGGTGTGTGATTTATATAATATATTTCAAAGGGATATTCATAGCATTCTAAAATCTGTAAGAGATCCCACACATCAAGGTCCTTTAACTGTTATTTTAAATAATGAGGTAATTGATCGATTATATAACTTACATAGGAAAGAGAATATAGAGGAAATACTTATAAATAAAAAAAGGCTATTATGTTTTGAGAATGCCTACTTGAAGGTTTTTACTCTGGATTTCCATAATTGGTAAAATAAAAATATAAGCCCAAGCAATTTTATTAAATGTTGCTACTCAATAGATACAATCTAACATAAAAATGCTAAGCATTCAATGACAATGTATGATTAAAATATTTTAAAAATTGTAATATTGTATAATAAGAATATTAAACGCTTCTATACATTTTTTTTAATAAAGTATTAAACAACTTGTCTGTATTTTATTCGAGAAAAACTCCACAATTTTTGTTGCCTGAATCTCGTTAATGGAATTGACTTGTTTAAACTCCATCAAATCAGCGCCTATCCTCTTGACCCCTTTCTGCCTGCTGCTTTTTGGGCCCACTCAAAACCGAATGAAGCTGTTCAATTTCATCGCCACACGTTTCAATATTTATTATTGCCTATTGACACTGAACAGGTCGATTGCCGGGAGTTGATGGCTGCTCTGCTGGAAGTGGATGAAATGGAGACCACGACACGAGGGCAGGACAAACACATACGGAGATCGTTGGCGGGGCATGGCAAACATATTATTGACATTTTATGGTTGGAAATTCATGGAAAAACAATCAAAAGGGTAACGGGCCCCGCACGACTGCCGAAGAGGACCTGCGGATGGATGTTCGAGTGGCAGTGGAAGGGTCCTGGTGTTGGGTCACAAGTCGATTAACAGTTTGATTGAGTTTTCCTATATATCCGATGCGGTATTTGCGGTTGATGTGTTTAAAAGTCAATACAATGCGACACAAACACATACACACACACACTCTGTAAAAAGAAAATGAAGGGGGGGAAAGTCTTAATGGAAAAATGCCTCGTAAAAATGTTATGCGGCAAATATTTGAGCGGCAAGGAAGCGGTTTGAGGCAATCCTGGCAATCGGAAAACGCAATTAAAATGCCGCTCACTGACAGCCTGTCGGCAGAAGTTAAATGCGACCGAGTGCCCTTCAGCTTTTGTTATAAATATTAAACGAAGACACAGTCCTCAGTCGGCGTCCTTGGCCTCCTAGCAGCTCTCGGGACTGTCCAGAATATTACTTACCATTGCGAAATGTTTGCCATTGATAAATTAGCGCAGGTGGCATTCATAGGGGTCCGGGACGAGGGCTCAACATATTTTCCATTCACATTCCCTCGTCATTTTTGGCACAGCAAGGACGAAGGGCGGCACTGAGTCCTCCCCCAGCTTGGCCAACGCAATTGATTGAAATAATAAGCCGGGGACAGCAGCAACTTGGATAGCAAATTGATGAATGCAAATTTTTTGGCGAATGCTCGCTTAGGTTTCAGGGCGGGATTGGAGCGGAGGGAGTGCCATTAATGAGCACTTTGACGACATGCCCGCAATTGAACCGAACTGTGACAGGCTGAGAATAAAGGGCCAGGACCCCGCATTTCAGACTGCATAAATTATCGCCAAACAAAATGATTAATGGCCGCGGTTCAAAAATACAGAACTCAATGGCAGTCATGAGTGCTCGACAAGTGCCAAAGATGGAGTAATTAATTTCAATTTATTGATATTTATTTTCTGAAGAGGTCTACTTTTCACGATTTACCGAGGCTTATCTACTCAATTTATTGGCAGCAAAGTATGGAGTATTCATTTGGTTTTCGGTTCAATTTGTAAATTGAAATTGCTTTATATTATTTATTTATTTTTGTTAAATGAAAATCAAAGCCAGTTTGCTGGAACCTTTTACAATTAGAAGGAAGAGCTAGCAAACTTATTAAAATTTAGCTATATATTTTTATATTTTTTTTATATTTTTATAATTAATAATAAAATTATGCAATTTATAAGATAAATTCATTGAATATGGAAGCTCCTTTATTTTTCTCCCTTTTTCTTATAAATAAGAGATATTTTAACTATAATAAAATATTGTATTCGTGGTAATAAAAAATTGTATTTGTAATATAAAATCATTGAATTTTGAAGCTACCCAACTTTTCTCATTTATTAATTATTTATTTCTGATGACTTTATTAGACTGCACGATAAAAGTCAGAGACTAGAATTTAGGGGGATTCATCTTGGCCACCGCTTCGCAGATAAAAATTAATCAAATCTAAGCTGGCAGACATAATGCGGGCTTCACTGGCAGCGTATTAATTAAGGCGAGTTTATGATTAAGCGCTAGACCCTTCCTGCTTTTGATAACTAATTTACACACATTTATTAGTCGTTGTGCAGCTGGACAGATAAGCCCTGGCTGAATGCCTGGTAACTGGGGAATAGCGAATGGCTGCCGCAATGTTGCTCATACGCCATGTGGTGCCTGCGGTGTGCCAATAATGCTGGTGTCTGCTCTTCCACGATTTTCCTAGGCCTGTATATGTATGTGAGTGTGTGTGTCAAAGCGCGCATTTAAAGCTTTCGGGCTTAGATGGAAATCCCCGCCGCCATTGTTCATTTCGCTCTTGGCCACTGCAATCTTAGACGCAACAACCGCAGGCTCTCTCGAAATTTCCCCCTCTCAAGTTTAAACCTTTAAGGCCACTTTTGGCTACAAAAGCATCCGAGATGCCGTCATTAACTAGCTCTGCTTTTGCTTTAATTAAAAACTACATTACTTGTCTCCGCTATTCGCCATTTTTTCTCCAGATTTCTTGAGCTAAAATGCTCTGATATATGCGTGTAATTTCATTTTATGGCTCACTCGCACACACAGACTCACAGGCACTTTATGAGCTATGGCGTCGGACGATGGGGTTGCTGTTCGCATAATGATTAAAAATTCAATTTAGTCGACGCTCGGAATGAAATTATTTATGTGTGCCGGTACGGGAACGCGGGTCAGAGCTTAAAAATTACTCGGAAAACTGGAGGGGAAATAAATAATAAGAAAATTGCTATCGATGAACGGAAATTTCGTTTGAAATAATGACACTCTTATGTGTATAATTTAGCTTAAAGCTTTTCTTGTTATTGTTTTGTGTTTTGCGCTAATTTTTCATGATCCCAAGCTTGTAGGAAATAATTTTTCACCTTCAAAGCTGCTGGGCTATGGCAAATATTTTCTAATTAGCAAAAAAAGAAAGCACAAGGCAGAAGCACGTGAGAAATCCTTGAGGAGGAGATTCACTCTCGCTGTCGTTCTCTACCTATCTTTATCTCTCCAAAGAAAACCTGTCTCCCTGTCCCTGTCAGTGCCCATTTTCCACTCTGGCAGCATTGTTTGCATGCCTTTTCTGCTTTCCAGCGCCGACGTAAACTCATATACTCAAAGTCTTACACTCTGGGGGCCTGCACTTCAGCTCATTCATCAGTCATTCAACGGCTACGGGAACAGTGCCAACCAAAACACAATCAAGGACCTCTCGCTCACGCCAGCGATGGCAACATGTTTTCGCAATTTACCGATTTGCGCCGAGAGCCTGACGCCACCCCTCTCAAGTTTTTCCTATTTCCACTTCCTCTGCTCCCACACTTTCGGCCTGTCGCCATTTTCCGCTACTATTCCCGTTCGTTGTCATCATCAGTGAGCAATTCAAGCGGAATTTCACAAAATTTACTTTGACGTTTATGCATTGCGCATACGCCTCGTGGGCCGTATACTGTCTACTCAGGCGAATGGCCAAATCGCAGCTCTCATATTTGATTAGACATTAAGAGCCACTTGTCACACTATCCAAATAATCAGACAAGTGAGCTTAAATAGGGTTAAATAAATACATTTGAGAATGTGATAAAACCCTGTAGAATAAGGGTAATTGCGAAAACTTGTTTTAAATTAAATAAATCTTGAATTTTGACTGAGAAAACTAAGCCTAAAAGGTAGAAAAATTTCAATTTGAGCAGCCAATTTCCTTCCTATTTATGAAAATATATATTAACAAAATGTATATCACACCAACTAAGCATTTAGAGTCAGTGAATTTGAAATACTTTTGGACTGGCTCTGCTCAGGCCGACACATAGGTTTACACATAATTGCGTTTCTACTTTTCCAAATAATTTTTGAAGGTTTTTTACATTAAAGGTGAGTTTATAGTGTATTATTTTTTTTTAATGAATATGTGCAATCTTTATCGTTCATCTTTTTCCCATACATTTGGTCCAGCAAAGTCGTCGTCGGGCCATAAACCTTCACGTTATTTATTGGCTTAGTAGAAGTATCTTGTGTCCAGAGATTGCAGAAGATGCCACGCGGCAAATACGTTAACCACAAGGGCCGCTGTCGCCAGTTCACTTCATCGGATCAGTTGCAGCAGGAGCTGGGCATGATCATGGACAAGGACAAGGTTCAGGGTCTAAGCCAGGACGAAGGTGAAGCAAATATAAATCTTGGGGACCTGTCTGACTACGACAATGAGTATCTGCCGGAAAAGAAATCGATCCGAGGCATCCACAACCTCATCGAGGTCTTCAATCCTAATCGCATGCCGCATGACCAGCAAATTGTGAGTCAGAAGGACAACGCCCGAGATGAGCGGAAGCAGAGACAGGGACCACGAAAAAGCCAGGTCCAGGCCGATCTGGAGAGACTATTCATCGTTCGCAAGGAACGTGAGGCGGCTGCCGAACGTCGTTTGGCCGCCAAGAAGGCAGCCGCCGAGGCAGATGCCTTGCGTTTGGTGTTTTCCCTTAAGAAGCTCACCAAGCAGTGTCCCGTCGATGAGATGAACTCACCCAAGGGCCTGGCCCTTCGCGGAAAGTGAGGGAACCTATAGGAATATACAAACATTGCAAGCAAAACAAATCCTAAAACAAAACTGAAATACCTCGCAAGAAACTTGGAAAATCCTTAAGACTTGCAAGAATAATGAACACTTTGAGTGCCATTTCGATGTTGGTTAAGAAATAACCCATCGAAATAGTGCTAGAAAATAAAGATACAGAAAGTAAACTTCTTTAGGCTTTCAATTGATCAACCTTCTTAATTTATCATATATATATTTCTTCTTAATCAAATCAACTTGACAAGCGTCTCTTAGAATATTACGCATACGCCGCGTGGGCTCCAGTTGTTTGCTCAAGCAAAACCAAAGCCAGCTCTCATATTTGAGTAGTAAACAAACCCCGAATCCCTGTCTTCGCCGTGCTAATTGTGTATGATTTTCGCCAAACCGCAAATCCATTGAAGCGGATTTTCGGCTGCGGTTTTATTTGGTCTCTCCAATCAATTAGACTCGAAGGCATTAACGTCTTCATTCCATCAAATATTGGATTTCCTTATTAGACATCCTTTTGATGTTGTCGCCACGCACGAGTGGGCGCCGGGACAACCTGATTGTGTCATTTTTGGTAATTGAAAGTTAATATTTGTGAGTTGATAGAGCAAAAAATTGGCTAAGTGCGGTGTAAACAATTTAAATGTTAATACAAACGCAATTACCAGGATCACTAAGGCGGACATGACACGTGTGCCTTGGACAGCAAAAATGTACCTTTTATATGTGGTGTGTCTTTCAAGTTAATACCCCTAATGTACTGTTCCAGGAAACGAAGGCGAAAAGCGAGCAGCGGGAATTTATCTGCCAAGCCAACGCAACAGTTTGAACGGAGGCCGTCAGGATGTGTTTTCCGCCCTCACGCCCACGCACATAATCTCACTGAAAGGAAACACTAAAACTGTCACTTTTACAAATGGGTTGTCAGATATTTAATTTCTTAGAGTTACATTTAGCAATTATTGAACCGGATATTGGTCATTAGTTTATTAGAAATATTTTTAATAGTAAAAAAAAGGGATTTGAAGCCTTCAAAGATTACTTTTAAACATTTTTCAATGTGCCTTAAAATAAACTTGGGAATATTTGACCTCAGGAATGCTTTTCAAAACATTCTTAAAAACTTTAAATTCCCCTTAAAATAAACTCATAAAAATATATTTAATTAAGAAGTTGCTAAAGTCTTCCCAAGACTCTTTTTCTCAGTGCACCCACACGCATATGTGAAACTTGGTTTTTTATAGATTAGGAGCTGGCCATGATGGCCATAACAAGGAGCACAATAAAGGCCCACTTGCGTCGGCCGTTGCCAGGACGAAAAGCCAAGGGAGCTGGGCCACTCTCAGTCTTTGACTCCTGAATCGGGGGCCCAGTGTTTAAATGTTTCGAATTGCCGACAAGGGATTTGGCATCATGGCATTCACGCCCAGATAAGCGCCCGTAGTGGGTCTTATCTTTAAGGATACTCGCCTGGCCCCACCGCCGCCCCCCTTTGAGTGGACGCCGAGATTTATTACAAGCCATTTTTCTTGCACAGGACCCGCAATTAAAGCTGCCTTCGTTCTTCCCTCCAGTTTTTCCGGCTCCCCCCACTCAAATAGTTAGCAAAATACTTTCGAGTTGTTCGCCGCCAACGCCGCCGGGTTGGGTATGCAAATTATTTGCTTTAATGTGTGCTGAAAACTCTGGCAAACTTGCTCTCAATTTAGTCATTAGGCTTTGGGCGAAACTTTTGCTTTTCCTTGTGCGTGTTTTGGTGCGGGGAAAACAATTTTTATTTTTCAGCTGCCTTTGTGCTGCGAGTATTAATGCAAGCAGTCAACTTAAAATATAATTAAGTCGAGCGCTCGAGCCTCCGATGACAAAGCAAACACATGGCCAAAGGAAAATGCCTCAGAGTGCAAGGGAAAAATGTGTATATAGTGTGGGAAAGTGAAAAAAGAAAATAAAGGAGGCGAGAAGGCACAAAGGAACTGCATATCACATGGGAAAACAAAGGAAAATGGGGTCGACTTTGGGTTACTGAAGGAAGAAAGTAAAATTGAGTTGCTTAATATTTAAAAGGTAAAAAAAAAAATAATATTTCTTCTTAAAAATAATTATAAATTAATAAAGGGAATTAAAACAAAGTATAGTTATAATTATCAAATAAGTTATGTTAAATTTATACTTAAGAAAAGGTTTATTATGAAATCAAAAACGTTTAATAGATACATCTACAAAAAACCATGAATAACTTAAATAACAATATGCACACTTAGCTTTTAGAAGCTGTCAGAAAAAATATATTTTTTAAATATTACCAAGGAGGTGTCACTTTCTTATATTCTTTTATCCTTCAAAGTCTTTTCTGCCAAAGAAAGTGCGAAGAACTAGCGATGCCAAAGGCAACCGCGGAATAACTTTGCAGTTTAGTGAAGTGTGCGCCATGAGAGACATAATTATGCGATTTAACACTTTAGTGCTGGCAAAGTGGAACGACCAAGCCGCCGGCATCTCGTCCTTGTCCTCGTCCTCATCCTCCTCCTCCTCCTCGACGAGAACTCATCAGCCGCATCCTGGGCTAAGAGAACAAAGGAAGCGGCTGCCAACAAGAAAAGGAAATTTGTGCTAAAAGTGCACTTCCAGTCAAAGTGAGATGCGGATAACAGGATGAGCACAGGACCAAGAGGCGACCACAACTCGATTTAATGAAGCTGCAAATACAAGGACTCCTTGCGAAACGGAGTTGGTCCTAAAAAATTATTCCGTTTGGTATGAGGAATAAGGAATTAAGGGAGTCAATGCAAACTGATTGCAGAAAATGCCTCATTTACCGGGAAATCAAATCGCTTCATTTCTAAGTGGATAAACACACAAATGATGGCAAATAGCCATGAATGCATCTAGACCACAGCCAACAGGCAACAAGAAAGGGACCCCGGTGACCTGGCCAAAGCGCTAAACGAATGAGCGAAATTGAATGAAAATTATGCTGCCACTCGACTGACTGGGCTCCCTCCATCCCTCTGCTAGATGAAATATATATAATTTTATAAAATAACTTGGCCCTTTTTTTCAGATCAGTGAGCTTTTTCCTTACCCCTCCTGAACAGCGAAAAGCGGACCAGGAAAATTTCTTTGCTAAACAAAATTGAATTGTATTCTGACTGACGCTGGGCCTCAGGGTTCTGTTTTGTTTATATTCCTTTTATTTGCTTTTATTTTTATTTTTTTGGCAACCAAATGAAATGGTGGCATTTCAAACAGAGTTTTTAAACAGGTCTTTAAGGTTCGGGAAATGTCTAAAAATTAGTTTGGGTTGAGTTTTAAATTAACTAATTGCGGCTTTAATGGGTAATTGAATTTATTTTTACAATTTTAGAATTTAGAAAAACCTGAAATGCTTGCTGGTTTTAAAAGAACCACAACCACTGCCTTGAACTTATTTTATATTTTATTTCTTCAAAAGATTTCAGTGGTTTCAAGGCTTATTAAAAACCTCTTAGTTAGATTTAAGCTTTAATTTAGCAAAAATATAAATCAGTTTTGGGCTTAGCTTTCTCCAGGCTTTATATAGACATTGAATTGTATTCATCGGAACATAAAAATAACTACAAAATCAATTTTAAAATATTTTTCACAAACTTGAAAAATATCTGAACAATACAATAAAATTGTAATTCGATATAAACAAACTTTTACACACACAAAAAAATAATGGGATGCGAAGAAAACTTGAAATGCTTACAAATTTTCAATGGCAGAGCCAGAAACCGGAATCACCGCAGGCCTCGTAAAAATGAACATTTGAAGAGCCCGAAAGATGTTGAAATGTGCAAACATAAAACTGCCACCAATTGATTGAGATGTAATCAAAAAGGCGACCCAAACAAAAAGCGGTCCACCGAGGCATCACTCTGTGTATGTGTGTATGTGAGGGCATAAAAATCATTGCCCGGACGGGAAAAGGAAAGAAAAATCAAATTACGCATACGCAGTGCAGACCAAAAGGGAACGAATGCCCTGCCGGCTTTCGTTTTTCCTACGCTCCCCGCCGTGCCGTTATGGAAATTCGACAAGAAGGGGGGTGGGACGGGCAGCATATGGGGCCGCTTACTAATGCTAACTGGGCTTAAATGCGACTGCCTTTGAGCCATCATACATCAACGCAAACATAAATTACTCGCCATATATGCGCATGACTAATTTGCGACTCATGTCTGGCCTTTGATGCTGAGCCCGCCGCCCGCAAAGTTTTAGCATTCATATTTTATTAGCCACAAGTCAGTAAGTTTTGTGTTCTAAACAATTTATTAATCAAATGGCCCAGCACAAACGGAAACTGGGCCAAAAAAGCGTCGCACGAAGAAGGGAATCCAGTGCGAAACCGAAACTGAAACCGAAAATGAAACTGAAACTGAAGCTGAAACCAAAACCAAAAGGTCCAGTCATCTCCGACTTGTGTGTATATATAATTTATGTGCCACCCCCTGTATGTGTGACAAATTGTGTGCCGGAGGCCAAGTTTCGCATTTGTTGTTTAACTTTTTGCCCTCGCAGGGACAATGCTCTCTCTCACAACAGTGCTGTGATCGTTTCAGGGAACAGAAAAAGAGCCAAGACTGGTAAGAATATTCCGAAAAAAACGAAGAAATAGTAAGAAGAAAATAGAGATGAGAATTTAAAATGTTTAAAAATTACGAAAATTATAAAATTAACTTCTTTTTATTAAAGAGAAAATTTACAGCTTAGAAAATCATAAATATAAAATGAGGATAAGTATTTTATATAATCTTTTAACAGCTTAATCAATTTTATATAATATTTTAACTAGCTTGAAAATTTTAAAATATTTTATTATTAATTCTTACTAGCTTAAAGAATTAAAAAAAACTATATCCCTTGAATTCCGAATCAGAAAAACTACAACCCTGCTTTTAGCTAAATCCTCATGCCTGTCTACTGTCTCTTACGACTCTCCTCTTTCCTTCCAGCATCCCGTCATCTTGTCTGGCCCTCGCTCTCCTCGCAAAAGTGTTACAAATTTATGACATTTTCTTTTGCATTCGTCGACCCTTTAAAGCAGCCTCGCACCCAATGGCTAAATCCAAAGCCAAACAGCTTCGAAAAAGGTCAACAGAACGCTGGAGGTTAGAGACGCCAGCCAAAAAAACTGAAAAAAAAAAAAGCCCAGAGGAAGTAGTAAAAATGTTGTTTTCTCCTCCGTTTTACGGTTTTGGGTTTGGACATTGACAAGAAATCCTAAAAAACTGTAATGGGAGGGAAGAAGCAGCAGCCACAACACCGAGACACTAATGTCGCTCATCTTTTATTAATATTTCTTAGAGATTTTTATGCTGCTGTTTTCTGGCCGCAGGATGGGTCCCACCGCAGGGTCTAGCAGGCAGTTGAATGAGCTACTCCTGAGTATTTCCACGAATTCGAAATCGAATCCCAAAAATAGAACGAATAATATCATATTTCTCAAGCACAAACTTTCACATGAATTTAATACTACTTTTGCCGCTCCAAACTTTTGCTTTCTCTCCTGCAAAATCAATAAGCTTTAGGTTCTTCTCCCTTTCGGGTTACATAAAGCATTCGGGGAAAATAAACCCTCTGGCACTTGATTTGTTACATAAGGCGTGTTGCTTACTTTTACTGTCATACTTTCTTTTATGCGGAAAATGTCTTCCCTGCAGGAATTTCTCCTCAAGTCATGTCTGCGGTGACTTCCTCTTCGCCTTCATCCCGGGCTCTTTCCTTGAAAGTGATTTAGCGGAAATTGTTTTTTAATGTGGCAGACATTCTTAAACTATTTAACTTGAAGTGGCACAGTCACTGGCACAGCAGCACAAAAAAGAAAATGTCAACCATTTATCAATGGATAATCAATAGACCTTAAACCTTTTTCTTTTCTCTCCTTCGATGTGTGGGCGGAATTTTATAGTTTCAGGGCCTTTGCAAAACAACTGCGTGGCATGCGATAAAGCCAGGTATTGCCATACAAAACGTGTATATTTTTAGCAAAGCATTTAACTAAACATCCGCTGCAGCATTTTGGCATTTGCGGATTACAATAAAAGCGTTTTTATACGTTTGCATGACTGTCAGACGAGTTGAGAGTGACTGACGGCTGGGTGAAAGGTGAGTGTTGTCTCTGGCATTCATTAGCCACTGGCACGATGTCCTCACATGTCAGCAGGCCATTTAAGCCAAGCATTGATTATGCCAAGATACTCTTGGCAAGTGCACAGAAAAAATCAACACTATAACTAAATATATAAATTAAATTTTATAGAAATTACAAATTTAACATTTTAATCATTTTTCCCTGTCTATTTTCCCAATTAAAAATAAATTGCCAAATAGTCTTATTTCTCACATCTACCAGACTACAAATTGTGCAACTTGAGCTGGATATGTTGTGTCCTGAGGCTGTGCAATTTAATTTTAAATTTAATTTGCCAGAGTGAGGATTATTAATTTGTGCACATGGCTTCAAGCGGAGAGCATATAAAATCCTTTGCGTTTCGCACGGCCATAAACTTGGGCAAATAACTTAGTAATCATCGTTTGGTAGCACTGGCAGGATCATCAGCATTTTGCCAGGGCATTATAATTATATAAAGATGCGCCTGCTCTTTACACAGGAATAAAAAAAGGTAATAAAAACAGGACTCGCCTTGCAGGCAGTGAAAAGGCGCAGACAGCTTACCTTTTCCATTTCCCTTGCACGCTTTTCCGCCTGTTTATGACAGCTCTCACTCGGCACTCGGCACACGGCCATATATATGTAAACGGGGCCGAAACACTTGCAAGTTTTACGATTTTCAAATGATGTACGTACAAATTCATAGAATTTTATATTTAACAGCGCCCAGAAGCATGCAGCCGAGTGTGATTGTTGTGTGTGTAGTTGTTGTTTAGTCAGTTTTTCCGAGCGAATGTGTGTGTGTGTGGGAGTAATTTTTCATTATTTGCCGCTCGGTTTTCCGCACACTGGCATTAATCAAACATTTCGCAAGGGGAAAACCCTCGAAACAAACACGGGAAATGTTTGCCAATTAAAAACAGTTGCAAAGCTTATGGAAATATTTATATTAGAGGCACACTTTCCCGTTTATTCGATATGACAAGCTCATTATAATCGAATGCTGTCGATGCCCCGAAAAAAAACTTTTTAATTTAGTTGGCAAAAGAAAATAATACGAAAGAGCAAAAACCATCATCATCATCATCATCATCATCATCATCATCAGGGCTGCCATCAGACTTTTCCAGCTGGCTGCCAATGTATTCGTGTGGGAAAAAGCAAAAACTTTTTTCCTGCCTACTTTTCCGCACATTCATTCAATGCCCACTAAATGCAAATTTTCCTAATTTGATTTTGTTACTTTTTCCCAGGAAAAGTAACCATGCGAATTGCTACCTTTTTTCTGTGCTTTGTTTTGTTTTTATTTCAGCCAACAAGAAGAAAATTTCATTATTTTTCTTTATGGCCGCAAAATTAATCAAGTAAAAACACAGAAAACGAGCAAGCCGAAAATGGATTTTAGAAATATGTTTTCTTAAATGGAATATTTCCATTTGCACCCAAAAGACGAAATTCATGCGGAGCAGCCGGCATTTATGGAATTTTATGTTCCATTTTATGGGGTCATCAAAAAGTGTGTTCAATTTCATAAATTGGAGAATAATTGCGCTGAAAGTGGATCGCAGACGCAAAGGCGGGCGAAAAATCTTGCCCTCTTATTGACACTAATTGGTCTTTGGGTTGAACAGCCAAGAAATTCAATTTAGCGACTAATTAAACGAGCTTAACTTATCAAGCTGAAAAATGCGTAAATTATGTTCTAAATTGAAGTCAAGCTTTTTCATTAGAACAAGAAAATGTTGAACAGTTTTGCTTGTAAAAAAAGGAAAGAGAAAGGCATCATTAATATATCAAATTAGCAAGTAATTGCCAATTGAGTTTGATTATTTGTTTATACTCAATAAAGGAGGAAGAGTTTCTTTCTTGATAAATTAATAAAGAAATAAACCGATTAAGACCATACTTATTCCTAATTGAATTAATGTAAATGTTATGATTTGTTTTTTATTAAAACTTTCCCAATTACTCACCTTTGCTATAGTTACGCTGACCTGCAAAGAAAAGGAAAATCATGATTAATAAACTTTTTTCTATGGGACTTGGCTTAATTCCAATTAGCCAGAGAGCTCTACCAGCAAAGCATTAACATGTGCCAAAGCCAAGTGAGCCTCCTTAAGGGTACTGGAATTATACATGTTCTTCTATTAAGGTCAATGCGAGTGGCTTCACCTTGACAACGCCACAGTTTCAATGGCAAACGTCAACCTTTTCACCTGCACAACATTATATGCTTAAAGTGCCTACGGCAAAGTGTCATTGAGTCAGTGGGAAATTTATGAAGAGAAACATATGTATTTTCCAGCGACAGAAATTTATAAAGAGAAATATATTTTTTGCTGCTGTTTGCCTATGCCTAGTGGGTCTGAAAAAGTTGTACAGGCTGCATTTTATATTAAAATTGAAAAAGTTATTAGTTGAAAATAAATATAAGTTTGATGGAGAAAATATTGAGATTTTGTTTGATGAAAGAAAACTAATAATATTTGCTCAAAAAGCATAAAAATTCATATTTTGAAAGGAAAATAAGCATTAAAGATGTAAATAATTGAATAGGAAATTGTATAAAATTATATTCCTCAACACTTTCTAATAGTTGAGAGCCACTAATATATTTAAACTTTATTTTTTTCTTACATACTTCTGTTTTATTTTTATGGCTTTTATTTTTTAGACAACCCACAAACCCTCTGACATGTGCATAAAAATCTCGCCATTTATCATGGCCAATGGCAGAATTAGCCCAGCGACCAACTGGCTGCCCCCTTTTTTTCTGTGGGCCTGCCCGAGGGCGTGTCCGTATAAATGGCTGCACTGAAACCAAAGACCAAGCACAACTACACAAGGACAACTAAAACTAAAACATAGAGGGTCCAAATGGCGACATTGACGCGTCGAGGGAGTGAACCCCCTGGCCATAATAATATCCGAGCAAACATTTTAAGAGCCAGCGAAGGGAGGGCGTGGCGGGTTGTTAAGATTTATGCTGACACCACTAAGGTCGGCTCCGGGGCGTGGGCAAAACGCTGTCGGACGAAATGCAATTGGGCTTTAATGCAACTGCAAATGCTGCAGCATTCCATTAAAATTATATTAGGCATCAAAAATGCCGCCGCTACACAAACTATCGTTAAGCAAAAGCAAAACGCTAGCGAAAGGCATCGGGAGGCAGGAGGCGGTGCATAATTTGTATTGCATGCTGCAGAGCTTCAAGGAAATGCAATTAGTTAGCCAGGATTGTGGATCCAGCCTGGATCCGACGAGCTCGAGGAGGAGGAATCAAGCCAAGCTGCCGGGAGTTAATCAGTTTTGCTAACTTCATTGGAGGCAACTAACGGCAGGAAACTTTTTGTGCGAGTCCTGCCAATGAAGTTGACTTAAGGCTCACCCCCTGCCAGCCAATTACACGCACTGCAATCCTTTAAAAAACTTTCCCACCTCTACCCGTACTTAGGCACGTGCTTTTGCAGGTCAGTGTTGGTAACTAGAAACTAGTAGCACGAGCTAAATTGGGTTTTAAAAAATAAGGAAATTGAAAGTATTTTGTTTAGTTTAAAAGGAAACAATTTAATGATTTGTAAACTTCTTTAAGCCATTTATAAAATTTAAATAAAAACGTACAATATTATTTATACATTTCAAAAAGGTATCTTTCTAATGTGAACAAATTTGGCCAAGCCTGACATTTTGGCTATTTTAAAAATAAATAAAAAATTACAAAAATTACAAAATATTTGTTAGGTATTTCAACAACTTGCTTGGCTATAAACCAGCCAATTTGGCCAACCTGCAGCAGGGCTCGCGACTGGCACCCCAAAAGTTGGCTAGACAAATGTTGCACTTGCATTCCCCACACGTCCAAGGCCGAGATTTATGGCCAGAACCAACGGGGTGGGGTGGAATAAAAGCCCAACTCTGTGGCACACACATTAACCCACATTTCGATTGAGATTTATGGCCAAGCCAATTTATTCGAAATAAATCCGAGCATCGGCGAATGTTCGATTAGATGTCACCGATACTTACTCATAACTTATTTAACCCGCCATCCGATTAACCACACACAATTGCAGGAGTGTAAATATTTTGGCGTTGCAATTTTAATTCCGTCACTGGCTGCTGGCTGTGCACTCCATTGCGAATTCCGGGTGAATTTTGCAACACGTGTTGCAACTTTTATGAGCCTCGTTTTTAGGTCACTAACTTGGCTGTCAATCAAATGTAGGTGTGGGCGTGGGCACTTGGCCCCATAGGCCACAAAAGCACCCAATCAATTTTCCCATAAATCAGGACTCACTGCAAAGACTCAGCAATTACAAAACAATTAAATTGTCACACCGAACAGTAAAGAGCAAACTCAGTGGCAGTGTCATAGAGCGGGAGGGAAAAGTGGGCCAAGAGGAAAAGCGCTATCTGCTTGACTCTCCGTTCTTCGTTCTCCATTCCCCGGTTTTCCTTTTTCCTTCTCGACAACTGCGACTTGGACATCCGATTGCTGCTCCGTCAACACGTTTCCGCTCTAACGTGCCCAGCAGTGAGAGAAAATGTTGAATAAATTTCCACAAAACAAATACATGTAGTCTAGAAAACTAAACTGTTTTTAATTATAACTTTGAATTATTAAGTAAGTTTTTAGTCAAGAGTTTCTTGAAAAATATTACAAAAGTATGAAATTTATTAAGAATTGTTTAACGAAATTGCCTTATATTCTCCCAGTGTAGCCTGGTCGCCCCGAGGAGGAAATGGAAAAAGTGCACAATATAAACTTCATTGGGCGCCAAGGCCAAATCGAACTGGCCAGCTCAGCGTCTGTTTCCATTATTTATTTGCAGCAAATTAAGCCCGGCCCCCCGAATAAAAGAGAAGGACCTCCGCTAGCAGAAGGACAGTTGGGCAGACGGACTTGGCAGGGGGCAAGTCAAGTCAAGTGTCAGCATAAATGAAATTTCCCACCACAGACTTCCGGCAAACAAAAGGGGCGAGCTGCGCGGATGGTCGGTGGTTCGCTCCCTTTTAACAATGCATGTGCATAACAAAGAGCAAACGTCGGGTTGAACTTTTCACGGATTCCCATTCCCTTTTCACTTTTCCTTTCCCCGGCGCCTTGCCATTTCCCCTTTTCCCCGCGGAATTGGACCTCGGACATCGACACACTTGGCTGACGCCCATTAAGGTGCAACAAAATGTGCATACGGGAAGTGTTTTGAGCAGGTTACTTTTGCATCCGAGCGAGGGTATTTTGCACAATTCAATTGCAGAGTCATTTCCGGTCTTTCGAGTTGGCTTCAATTGGGGTTACTACGTGGGATTTTGATATCCTCCTTATAGGGGGTTGAAAATGTGGTTGAGGGAGTGGCGAGACTTGGCAAAATTTAATATTAAATATTATGATAGTTGTTATATGTTAATGTAAATATTAGTTTTAAGTGTATTCTTTGGCTTTTTGTAACTTCATAAAATTTATTAGGTATTTTTATACCCTTGTAGGGTTATATAATTTCAGTTGGAAGCATGCAACGCAGCAAAGGAGTCATTTCCGACCCTATAAAGTATATATACTCAAGAGATCAGTATGATCATCACATCTATAGATAAAATCTTAATCCTGCTTCTTTTACAATGTTCCTGTGACCTCTAGAAGTGAACAAAAAATCCCAAGAAATCATAAGCTTCCATTTGTAGGCAACTCAAGACCCTTGTTTCGCTTGCTGCTGCTAATAACAAGCAGTTGCCAGCTGTCTTCCTGTTAATCACTGCACTTATTCCCCTCTTTTCCGCTTCTGCTCCGCCATTTTGTGGTCGCACACAAATGAGCCGCATCACTTCCGCTCCGCTCCGCCCTGTGCTCCTTTGAAGGTGTGCGAATGCTCAGGGACTGGCAGATAACAAAGTATAGTCAGGGGCAGGCAAAAAAAAATAAGGGAAGTATATGTACAAGTTCTATTGAAGCGTTACATTTGTGGGGTTCCGTTCGCTTGGGTTTCGCTTCTGCTTTCGCTTTTTGCCAGTTGCCGTTGCTGCTTTGTGCTAACTTTTTTAATGAACTTGTTGATGTTGCGTGAGCTGAACTTGTTGTACTTTATTCACTTTTTGCTGCTGCTGCTGCTGCTGCCGGTTGTCTGTCAAATGATTTGCTCAAGTGCGGTGACGGGATGTGCATGTGCAATGCGTGTAATTGACTTTTGAGCTCGAACATTTGGCACTCAATTAGCGGCCACTGCAATTGAAAAAGTTATTTTATGCCAAGCTGCAAAAAAGTAAGGCAATTCATGGGGGAATAAAGAGTGATGTAATGCGGCTTAAGTGTAGATTTTCAATAGTTAACTAAGCTTAGGTTTATTATCCAATAAATTCTACATGTTTTAACCCTGTAACCCTCTTTTAACATTTATTCATCACCTTTACCCCGGCCTGTCTCATTGCTGAAATATGCATTACACTTTTGGCTATACATTTTTGGCAGCACATAAAGCACCCCTACTCTCCCTCACTGCCTGCATTATGAATAATTAATAACAATTTAATTAAAACTGTCTAAGTTGGCACAGGGCGCTCCGCCGTCGTTAAAACTAATGCGGCCTGAGGGCTGCCAAGTCGAGCTAATAAATCAAGAGCGCGCTGAGGAAACTGATATGCCACCAGATCCGATCCCTTACCAAAACTGAAAGTCTGCTAGATGGATGGATAATGGTAAACTAAAACTTGCAGTCAACGGGGCGTTAACTGGCTGACAAACAAGCCGACAACTGAAAACGTTACAATTAATGCCATCACAACCGGCAACGGCAGTCGGATAAACAATGGCCACGACGAGTGCCTGACAATGCCAAACAAACGTGGCCAACTACACAGAATGGTCCAGTGGTCACTCAACGCGGTGGCCCTAGATCCGGGGAGGTACAGAATATATGTATATATATAAATGTATTTGGGGGGGTTATTCGGAGAAGGGTGAAGAGATCTGGCATGTGTTTACACATTGTTTGCCTGCATAACTTGTTGACTTGTTCGCACTAATTGTCAAACGAGGGCCTGGTATTGTATATAAATACAGGGTTAAAGTCAAGTCTTTAACTAGCGAGGAATCTTTACAAATAAACCTTAAATCTAACATAAAACCAATCTTAATATTAAGTCTTAAAGCCAACAATTAATCATTCTGTATACTAAGAAACTGCCTTTAAAAATCCACCTTTAATAGCCTACTTTTCCAGCATTCCTCTGCCTAAATAACTGACCCTTCTTATTGTCTCCTAAGTATGCTGAAGGAAGACCCAAAATACCAGAGTTAAATGACCCAAAATTGTGCCACATTTTCTACGCATTTACTCGCACACACAGAACACGGGTAACTATCATAAAAACGAGGCTAACTCTCGGCACTAATTAAGTCGAAACCTTAGCATTTACCTTGGGGCAACTCTGCTCTTGGGGGTATGTAGAAGGAGGAGTTGCTCCGAGAAGGATCCGTATTATTAGGAAACCCTTGTTGCGAAGGCTTCCAGGCACATAAAAATGTCATATGTCAACTACAGGTTGCCTTGTCAGCACTCATTAAGCTCTTAACCTCATTCGTGCATACACAGACACGGTTACAGATGGCCCTCTCGCAAGGATATGAGACAGTGCTGCACACATGCGTTAAAAAATACAAAAAAGATAAAAAGATTTCATATATTTAAGCTGTAAACTTTATTTCCATCTCGGTAAGTCCTAAAAGATTCCTTCAAAATTTGAAAATAAAATACTTTAAAATAAAAGCTTTAACACACATCTTCAAAGGGAAGTTGCTGGTAATTTTTCCAGAAAATTCCACTTAAGAAAAAGGAAATTTTCTAGCCGGAAAAGACGATAAATTGCCAGCACTGGCACACACTCATACATAGACAAGCACTCGGCATCCTGGACAAATGCAAGTGAGCGCTTTATTACCAATGTCGACACGCCCGGAAAATGGCAGGACATTGGAGTGCTGGCAAGGGGCTTTTGTCTCAGTTAAGCAGGGACTTTCCCGGCCATCTCTTTAAGGAAAACGAAAGGAAAAAAAAACGAAATTATGAATGTGCAACACTCGCGTAATTCGCCGTCTTTCGCTTTTCTCGAGAGCTGCCTTTCAATTAATTTAACTCGTCCTGTTTTTGGTCCTTTTCCCCTGCTGGAATGAATGAAATCAAATTAATTACGAGAGACGACGACGAGCTGATAGCAGTTCGTAGGAAGGATACGTAAGTCGCTTCCTTATGCACATGCATGCAAATTTCTTTTCATAATTTATGCTCCTCCTTCCGCTGGGTCTCCATCGTCTTCCTTGCCGTCTGCGGGCTTTGCCATTCATTTTAAGTCATTTCCCAGGCGAACCCTATCTGGGCCCCCTTTATCATTATCAACTCCATCAGTTAGGCAGTGTGCCAGGCCAGTGGTAAATAACCTAAATAACTAACTAAAAGGGGGTATATCCAACGTTTTAAAAACTTTGTTTTTAAAGATTTGTACATTAAATTGTATAAGTTAAAACTAAGCAAGTTTTTAGGGATATTCTAAATATATTTGAACTGCAGAAATGGATTTAATTATAATTATTATTTATTAAATAATATTTATTAATTAAACAGCAAAATTATATGTACTCTGTGATACTCTATTATCAATCAAAAATACATTCCATTATTTTTTTGCTCTCACGCTTCCTTGCTTAGTTTGTATGTTATGCTTTGTGTGTGTTTATAACTTGATTTCTGCTCTGTTTGATTAAGGATGTCGAACACACCCAGCCACAGCCACCCACTCATTCAAGGATATACATTGGCAGTCGTATGTAGTTTTAGCTTGCAGTCATTTTCCGCTTGGATATTGGATTTCAGTTCGTATTTCCCCCATTTCCCCACACATATCGAATGGGTCGGCCTTATTGTTATCCCAGATCCTCTCCATGAATTTCCTTGCCAGAAGCCTTGGCAGCTTTTATACTAAATGAAACCAAGTTGCAATATCCACAGCATTGGGTTTCCACAAAAATTATGAAAAAGGGAATTATGTGTCCCCTGATTGATGACAGACTCGACTGTCAAAACAACTTGAATCACAACTTACCCTCTTCTGTGTGTCGGTCTATTGAACTTTCAACTCGGCGAAGTCGCAATCGGTCTGCTGTCTGCAATGAAGAAATATATATATACATTCTGTTATTTACTTATGATGATTAAAATGCATTAATCAAGTCAAATGAAACGCATTAAATGTTGACAATATCTTAATCACAGCACAGTTATCTACGTACTTAATTAAGCTAGAAGCAATTCAATTAGTTTGGCTGACAAAGTTGAGGCCCTGAAATTCACATGGGACTCACAGGTGTGCTAATAAAGGAGCTCAGAAGTCAGAGTGAGAGAGAGAGGGGCGGGGCTCCTCTGGTGAGCCGCAAAATCAGAAATGTTAATTAAAATCACTGAGCGTTGAGCCTAGGCGACAGGCATGCTAAGCAGTCCCCGAAATCTGTGGGGAATTCTGCAGGGAATAAGGTGTAGGTAGGTAGGGAAAATCCCAGTTGGTTGGGAAAACCTCTGACCACAGCGGCAGCGGAGGAAGACAAATGTTGCAGATAGCAATCTGGTTGGGTTTATTAAATGTGGTATAAAGATGCCAACTGTAAATGTATTAAGTTAAAAGGCAGGGTAATAGAGGTCAAAGTTCAACGGGGAGAACATTTTATTTGGTAATTTTTAAGGCAAGATATTTGTTTTTTTAATAAACTATACTTAGGAGGGTATTCTGATAAATTTAATTAAATTAAATAGGTCTTTCTTCAATTTCTTGTTTCGATTTTGTTGTCTAAATTTAATAAATTAACCTTTAAAATAACTTCTTAAGATTCTCTTTATCCCTGGATAATTTTTACTTACAATTTTGAATACTTTTTAATACAGTTCTCTCTGAAATTTCAATTTAAATTGATTATTTTCCATCAAATACATTAATTCCTACCTAATCTCAAGTTACAAAGGCTGCCAATATTGACCCTGTTTCCTTTCAGGTTTCAACTTCTGTGCTGCAAATAAATAAAGGTAAAACCATCACAGAGCCGCAACAAAGCAGCCAGAATTGCATTTAAAATTCGTAATGGACGTACCGGAAATACAGAATTCCGATCAGGAAGCACGGGGTCAGGAAATCAACTGAAAAAGTGCCACAAAAAAGTGCGCAATACCAAAAGCGAAAGCTCACAGAACAAAAACAGAGCAGATACAAAAAATAAAAGAAAATGTCCTGCAAAAAAATCAACCAAAAGCGAAACGAAGGTTACAGAATAAACAAAGGAGCAGAAATAATATTTGTATTAAAATGTGCAACGCTGGAGGGGCGGCGACCTTCCTTCCTTCCCTTTGATCACAAATTGAGAGCAAGCAGCGAATTTAATAAACTGGTAACCGAAAACCAAAGCCAAAACCAAAACCAAAACAATTAATGAGGCAAAAACCTTAAAGCCTCGCCGAGCCCTTAATTTCGATGCTGAGCCGCTTTAAGCCTTGGCTTTTAATTTCGTCTGGGCGAAAGTGCTCGATAATTCGAGTTCCGGTCTCGGCAGCAGCTCAACTCAACCCGGCAACCCGGCAAGTTGCATTAAAGCGGATGCTAACTTTCATTAAAAACCACTTAGCCCGTGCAGGGACAACAGGGGACTGGTACAGGGAGCGGTTCAGGCTCCTGCCGGCCCACTTGACCCGCCACTTGACCCACATGACCCGGCAACAAAGCCAGTGACGCCACGTGGATACATCCACTTCTCCCGCCACCCGAGTCTCGGTCTTGTCCTGGAACAGAAATCCCAGCTAGTTGGCTTCAAGGACTTAGAAGTGGGGGCGTGTCCGTCCCGAGGGCACATCGTTAGTCATATTTTTTTCTGTGCCACTGTCCTGCCCTGTCCGCGTGCAAACTTTTTGGCAAACACGAGAAGCCAGAAAGAGATATTTTTAATTAAATTAAATAACAGTGCGTGGTGGCTGGCCAGGGGGGACTTCCCCTTCTTCCAGCTTCTGGTTTTTGGGCCAGAATGCAAAAGTCAGAAAGTGCTGCATACTTATGTGGTCAGAAGTTTCAACCGGATTAGAGATTTGATTTAAAATCTTAAAACCAGACACAAAGTTAAGCCAAATATCCGAGCAAGTAATGCCACTGTCACCGGGGCTTACGTCAACAAATTGAAAGCTTCCCCTTTATTAAAAAGAATATTTCTGAATTCGGAATACTTTCCTGACTAATTGTCGAGCAGTTAAAAACTTTGTCCTCTGTTGATCAAGAATATTTTTACCCTGCCACAATGTCATGTGCAAAGTTTGTCACAGAAAAAAGCATTTCACATACGTTGCCATTTTTTTGCGATTGACGTTCGCTTATTTCTATTTCATTACCACTGGTATTTTCCTTTAATTTTTCGCCGCCGAAAGCAAACAAACAAAATCACCAAAAGTTGCAAAATGGCAACGCAGAAATAAAAATGGAACAAAGGGAATAGAATAGACCTTTGGGGAGGCCAATGGGGGCACTGCAGACAAAACTGCAAAACTTTGGCGCGGCTTTCACTTTGTTCCTCTTTTTTTTTTGGCCCCACGAATGTTTTCTTTTAATGCCGAAGCGTGAAAACAAAAAACTTTTTCTGCCGATTTTAAACGGCGACACTAATGGCCCGAAATTGAAATGGATTTGTCGGGGCCCAAGCTTGTGCAAATATGCCATTGATGTGAACAAACAAAAACGAATCTCCGACGAGTAAGTTTGTCAAAAACGTCAAAGGCATTATAAGCCAAAATGAGCAATTGATGGAATCGATTTTAAAGGAAATTTAATTTAAAAACTTAGATTTATTGAAAGAATACTTTTAAGAAATATTATTTGTTATCGTAAAGTTGCTATAATTTTTATACCCTTGTATTATAATTTCAGTCAGATGTTTGCAACGCAGTGAAGGAGTCGTTTCAGACCCTATAAACCATATATATTCTTGATCAGCATCAACAGGGGAATCTTTCTAGACATGTCCGGAAGAAATCGATTTTTTGGCCATTTTTCCAAAATTTTATAAGGGGTTACATCATTAAAATTTTTGATTTTGATAAAAAATCGAATTTTCAAAATTTTAAAATGAAGTATGTAGATTTATTAACTGTAGAAAATCTTGCACAGAACAGTTTTCCGATTTAAAATTAATGCTCTTTTGGCCGAGTTATGATATTTTTAATTTAAAATAAATTAAGAAGTTTTTTAATATACAAAATCAGATTTTATAATACAAAATAATATTTTTCCAAGTCAAGGAATCATTTCCGACCCCATAAACCATATATATTCTTGATCAGCATTAACATGCGAATCTTTCTAGACATGTCCGGAAGAAATCGATTTTTTGGCCATTTTTGCGAAATTTGATAAGGGGTTACATCATTAAAATGAGCACAAATGGCCAAAAATTTTGATTTCTTAAAATTTTAAATTTGGTATGCAGTTTTTTTTAATTAATATAAACTAACCCAAAACTGCTTTCCGAATCGAAATTAATGCATTTTTGGCTTAGTTATGATATATTTTAATTGTTACCTGCAAGGGTATACAAGCTTTGGCTGGCCAAAGTTAGCTTTCTTTCTTGTCTTTTAATAATTTACGAGCCCAATCTTGTACTTTTCTCTATAAATTAAACCAAAAGAATGTTTAAAAATTCTACAAAAATAAATTTAAAGTCAGACAGTTTTTTTTTTATTTATATACAATTAATTTCCAAACATCAATTATTTCTAGAGCTCTCCTAATATAAATAAACTCTATTTATTGTTTTAACTTTTTAAAACTCCATTTATTTACATTTTATATTTGCATTTTAAGGCTTCAACCCACAAATAACCCTTGGTAAATATTGGTATATTTATTGCCCCGCTTCAACTACTTTATTTGTTTTTAATGGACACACTTTTTATTTTTATTTAACAAATTAAATGCAGAATTTCTGGCTTGGCTAAATGGCTAGCACCTTGTGCAAACACTATACTCTAACCGATATACCGACATATATGTAATATATAGCTAATATGCAAATCGAATGCTAATCAGCGACTTGCAAACGAAATTCAATGTTGATATACGCTATCTATTACAAATGAATCCCGCAGCCAGCGAAAGGATATGAACCAATTTGTTTGTTTGCCGGCATGTTTGTGTGGCCCAAATAGAACTTGGCCAAAATGCAGCGCTCCATTTCCGCAAACAAACAATCGAACAAAAGCCAACCAACCCAACACCGATGTGAATGAACATGGCAAGTTTCGAAATTTTGTGCTTATTTCGCTTTAGTCTATACCGAGTCCAGGCCCCCCCGGGCCAAGATAATTAAAATTACTAATTGAAAATGTCCGACAGATACACGGGCAACTAACTACGGGATAAATTTACCGCCGCCAGGCTATACATCATCTGCCCCTGGAAAATTCAATTTTCCAGAGCAAGAACCTTGAGCGGGCTAATATTTAGCGAGCGCCCTTCGAGCGATGCGTTTTATGGATTACTTGGTAGCTTCGCAGATGAAGCCTTAAACAGGAATTGATTGCCAGCACGAGGGGATGATGAGAGTCAGGTCTTCGCAGGATTTTAATTTAATTCAATATTTTTTTCGTCCTTCTATGCAGATTTTTTCTTTTGAAATTCTGGCAGTCGGGATGCCAGAGCGAGCCAAAAACTGTGCGGGTATTTGGGTCAGAAATGCATTAGAAAGTGCTAACTAGCTGAAATGCTATCCGATGCGATGGCGCACATAAATACTGCAGCTAACTTGGTCCCCGGCGGGCGGCGTTGTAAACAAACTTTTGTGGTCAACGGGTCGGCTAATCGATATCGCCCGGAAGGAGAACAGAGAAACCCAAGCCTTAGCGACGCTTGTGGTTACCATATCACATATTTTGTTCCTTTTTTGATATTTTTAGCATTAATTAAATTGGGTTCCTGGCAACTTTAGCACTTGCGGTGACAGAGAAACAACGCGGCCAAAAATGTTCGAAAATAAAAAATATTAAATTTCTGAAGCAGTGCCAAGGATTGAAGGACACAACATGATTTAGTTATGGCAAATATTTGGCAGGCAAGTAATTAAAAAATGTAAAAATAGATTTATTA